CAGTATATATTCTTGCAATCTTTTAATAGCCGAAGCTGCTATTAGAATTTATTTATTTCATATGTAATTAGGCACAAAGATTTATTGTATTCTTTCACTCACAGATGATATTATTAGAGTCAGCGACTAGTAAAGCTATTCGAGTTGATCTATTTTATTGGCTACTAGAATCAAATATTCGTGTAATTTTTAATGGAGATGGGATCCCAAGCACACATCAATTTCATCACCCCTACAGTCCAACATTCTTGCACCCTTTAACGAATAAATGAAATCGTCAACATAAATCGATTAGTGCTACAAAAAACTTTTGTCATCTCTAGCACTTAATTACTGATAGATAGAAATATCGACTTTACTCCATTTCGTGAATGCCACTCTAAATCTATTCACGGATACCCTAGCTATCTTTTTAATTTCTGGCATTTAACTTCAAACAGATGAAATTATCGGAATAAATCATCCTTAAAACGTTCGTTTGGACTTCATCGTAATCCACCAACTCGGAAGCAAACTGCATGATAAGAGTGTATCACCTTCTGAATTTGGCCTTAAAAGAGTATTGTCATTACTCTAATACTATAAACTCATCATTAAATCAATTACTAAGGATAATCCAATTCCTATCGGCATCACAAGTTTAACTGCTAGTGGCCTCTACCTTCAATAACATGCAATATTGCAATCCCACCGTGCAACAGTCTATCGTTCTAGCGTCATAAAAAAAATATTGCCAGTAAATTGCCTGGAGCATATTTGAAAGTTAGAATTTATTGTTTCAAAATGAAATAAAACAGTAAAGGTTCAATAGTAATTTTAAGAAACTTGAATAATATCTTTTATTGAAAGCAGTCTGTTGTAAAGCCAAGAGAATATCATGGATAGGAATGCCATTTTCATAGCAAACAGTTTACTAATGTGTTTTTGATCATGACTGATTTCACTATACCTAATTCTCATGGCTCCCTTTCATTCTTTACCGGTACAAAGGATCCCTTTGAAAATGGTTGTATAAAAGCCAAGTTCGAAAATCGAAAACACTAGGCTTTGTACACGGAATTGTTACCCTAGGCTAGTCCTATTTACTACTCTGCTTGCAGATTCTATCTTGCCCTTTCTCATTCAACAAAATGTACGCAATTACCTTGCCAACACTTTAATGATTAGAATAATAATCAGCTAACATTGTCTCTTTCTTTGCTGCATGCTTTATTCCTAAATTGTTCACCTCTCAGTTAGTCAGTTAGTATACTTTGACTTGCAGAAACGACGACTGGCTTATCCGGCTAGAGCCTTCCTCAGTTATGGGAAAATCTGTAAATCAATAATCGAATCTACAGTAATTGAAATAAATCAATTCCCTGAAAACTGTTTACCATGATCATTTAGGCTAATCATGCTGAGCTGTTGTACTTGCCAATATCATTATTTGTCGAAATAATTAAGTTCCAATTCAGTTATGCAACCGTTTCTACTACATAGTCATTTCAGTCGCTTCTATCACTCTTTCATTTGTGGATAATTTTATCTGGCATATTTCTCCATCATAGTTTTATTCTGATATCAAGGTGATAGCATCCATCTTTACAAAGTCCCACAAAAAGTTCTACAATCACTTACAGCACTCAACTTTTAATTTCTTCGACTCCACAAAATTGATTATGGAAAACTTTTTTGTAAAAGTTAACCAATAATCCGCTGCCATATCAAGCAGTAAAAATTGAAAGTGTAATCCATACAAGTTAGATTCCCTATTAAATTACATCCAAAACAATCTAGGCTTTACGTATTGAATCTTAGCTGCGCTGATAGTGACTTTAGTCAAGTTTAAAAATCGTTTCCTTAACTGGAATCCATATTCTTACTTTTCCTTATATAATGTCATAAAATTGGAACCCAAATGTAATTCGTATACCGCAATTTTAACTCAGTGTAACGTCTGCCCTTAATATGGGCTATTAATAATCAGAAGACAACTACTAATAGAAGTTAAGAACTAACATTACTTCATATACGATTAAAACTGGCAAAACATCTTCTGCTACCTTCTCAATAACTATAGCTTCCTACTTTACTAGTATATAGCGATTATCGACACCCGTATGTATTTTAGTTAAGAACGAGATAATAACCGTCAAGACATTGAAGATAGATATCTCGACTTATATAAGATATCCTATACTAACGTTAACAGTTATTTAATTTAGTTAATTCACCTTGCTAATGTTGCAGTATTCTCATGATTAATAAATAGCCAATTCGTATAGCCCTTTCTTTAGGCATAATATATTAACAGAAATCAACCATAAGATCTAATTACATTGATGGTGTACGGGTCTTTCATCAATTTTGTCGGTAATTGAGGTAGATAAGAATTCCCTTATAGTGTAGGATTCTTTAAAGAAACTTTTAGCTTCTATATGATTATCACGATCACTTATCACTAACTTTATAGTGTTGGTATACCTTAAAAGGTTTAAAATCAATGATTTTGGTAAAATTAATCATCACTAAAATAGATAGTTATGTTACGGTACCAAATTGAGGGATAATTTCTTTCCAAATATTACCGGCCCGGATATAATAGTATCCGGGTTTTACTCAACTCATCTTATTATCAATCTCTATATCAATATTAGCATAGTTTACTGTCGGAAAAATTGGCAATTAGATTAACTTATTTTTTCAAGTATGCATTTACCTAAAATGACCTCTGCCTGTTAAAAATTTAAGATCTTTATTACCCTATTAATCATCGAGTTACCATAGGCTAATATAATTATATCCATTGAATTCATTCGCCGGATCACTATATTTGCACAACTAAGCTATAGTATTCCTTCTCATTAATATTCCGTCGTGAGTCCAAATATTCCGCATATTCCACATCTCATTGCACCTTGGACCTTCTTTTTGTTTCGAATGCTGGCTGAATGGATCGCTATTTTACTTTATTGTAACTAATGATTGGTATTTCTCTTTTATGCTCCATCCTCACTACCAATTAATTGGTATGATGCACTTACTATTGCACCTGGCTCCTCTTTTTATTCCAAATGTTAGTCACATTAAGTTGCGGTCTTAATTTATGTATGAATGCTCAAAGATGTCTCTTTCTAACTAATTACCCGCCATTAGTGTAAAACATTCTTTCTTAAATTTTTTCTAGTCTAAGAACAAAGTAAACAAACTCGTTGCATTTATCATTGATTTTTACATGTTCCCCAAATGCTGCATATTCTATACATCGTAAATATTTGGATATTCTGGGGTTTTAAAAATTCGCTTAATTTAAATCATCATGATAATATATGAACAGTCACCGATAAAAATTTCTCTGTAAGTCTGATATCTTCCACATGTTCTATACATCTTTGCACTTTGGATCTATTTTATTCTGTTTCTAAATACCGGCTAAGCAATCTCTATTTATAATGTTAATCAATTGTAGCTTGAAATCAAGTATGATTAAATATTTAACATTATTTAATCTACACTCATCAAAATAAATAATAATATTATGCTTGATTGCTTATGGGTATAGATGATAAATTCAGTGTAAATTGCAGCCATTGATACATTATCAGTAACTAGTGAATAAAAGAAATAAGTAGAATACATATAGAATTTACATCCTTATAATATTGATCTTTATAATTATAAATAGTATAGAAACTACCTTGATCAGTCTTGTATTAGCCAGAATGACATAGAAAATGGCTTCAATTCAATGTTGAATCGGTGTTTTTAAACTTTATCTACAGTAAATTTCCTTTTTGTCAGACAAGGTTCAAGTGAATAGCTTACTAAATTATTTACAATTTTACGCATTACTGTTTATTCATTATCGTGAGGATACTTGCTGCAAGAATAGCGGTTCGCGTGATCCTTTTTGCATTCATAAGGTTAAAAAGGACCAAGATAGCCCCAAAGCGTGACTAATTGTGGAATTAAGGACAAAGAATCGACCCGTATACGATTTCATACGGATGCTACATTTTGAAGGAATAAGCAATTCGAATTTGTTCACTCTACAGGACTCTTAACTCTCATAGGATAGTAAAACTGTTTCATTTGATGCGGACAGCAATTCCAGATGGGTATTCAAATAGTATTGATGACAAAATCTTATTACATTATTGATTGGTAAATTTAAAATATATTCCCTTGATATTTAAAACTTTTATTAATTTATAATTTTTGTATGACTCTTTAACGATGAATATTGACATAGATCAAATGACGCTTGATAGGATTATAATAAATTCGTAAAATGAGTCATTAGCTGATAAATTAAAATTGAGATCGAGAAATTACTTTCTACAAAAAAGATAAAATGTTAGTCAAGATCTGTTCTAATTATAGGCCAATTTCATTATCCTATGCGAAAAATACTTCAGTTTGAATGGAGATAATTTTAGTATATCAATGATTGGTCACAATTGTAAGTAGTATTAATAAACCCAATATCAACTTGTACAGTATAATCTTGAGGGGACTAGGTTATGTTCTTGTCCAGACTGTATAAGCAATATCCGTCATAATAATATTTATTTACAAGCCCACTTCCTATGGCAAAGACTGTTTTAGAAATATCATTGTTACTATATTATAATACCATTTTATCATTATTGACTTAAATACATTAACTTCACCTTATCAACTGATCTAAGCTTATATTTTGTTGATTACTTTTAGCCTATAATTAATTCATGTATTTTTTTATTTAAATCCATGGCTGAAAATAGATCCAGTAGCAAGGCTAGATTAAAATAACATAGTAATTGGTCAACATTTATCTAGCCAAGTAACCAACAACGTTGGCCAATCGATTATCGATATTGATTTACCGTGCAAGGAATAAAAGGAATCGAGCCAATTGTTACATCTTTCAATTTAATTTTTAAGCTATCGGTTCATGTTGGAAAAGTAATATAGGCATCATGCATACCAACGTTAGCTGTGAAGATAACATGACCGCTTTTCTCATTACACATACTATGACAGCGACTGTTTTGCAAGCAACATCGATATCGTTATTTATTATTTCAAGTATTATGGGCAGTATGGCCATATGTTACATTATCTATAAAGATAAAGCATTACATAATGTTACTGGAGCATTAGTAGCTAACTTAATGATGTCAGATTTTTGCGTGGCAGTACTCAACATGCCTGCTGCTTTAATATCTTGTATCATTGGTCGTGGTATTGAAAATAATACATTATGCCAATTGGCTGGCGTTTCTAATTCATTATTCCGTTATGCTTCTATATTAACTTTGGCAGCCATTAGTGTTGATCGTTACATTGCTGTTGTACGTCCATTAAAATATTTTTTGATTATGACTTGTCGTCGATGTTTTATAATTATTAGCGCAATTTGGCTACAAGCGATTACATGCTCTCTATTACCACTGATGGGTTGGGGCCGATATATTTATAAACCGGAGGAGTTTATTTGTCGTCCAAGTTTCTTATGGCCCAGTGAAGATCGTGGTTTTACTTTAGTTATTTTAATAACGTGTTTTCTAATACCTTTTGCAATTATTATAACAACATCAATTCGAGTTGTTCGTATTGCTAAAATTCAACGAAAAAAGGTCAGTAGTATTACTGTTCATGTTCGAGAACGTGGATCGGTATCAGGTATATCCTATCTTGGTAGTCATTGCGAAAGCGTTCGAGATTACAATCATGCGTCATCGATCTCTTCAGCAAATAAATTGTTTACCGAGATTTCTCCAAAACTCAGCCATCGAAAGAGTACTGCAGCTTGGGGTATGAGTAGTAATAAAAAATTCGATTCTAGTAGTGTTAAGACATTAATATTTATCGGTGGCATAGCCTTCGCATGTTGCTCACCGTATTTCATCGTGAGTTATCTATTTTCTGTTATACGCGTTTCTTGTGTATATTATCGTGTCTTTGTAGCCTTAAAAGGTATAACTGCATGGCTGATATTTATGAATTCAGCTCTTAATCCGTTTATTTACGGCTTTATTAATGTTAATTATAGAAAATATTTTTTAAAATGGTTAAAATTATCGTCATCGTCTACTGCAATAAGACCTTTAAGTCAATGATAGTTATTGTTTTTATCCGTTGATATTGTAATTCTTGTAATCCTATTTAAATCTTTTAAAGATTTATCCAATGTAATAATAGTTTGTTACTGCAACTGTAGAATTTTTATATATATGCATTTTGCTTGATATTAATAGCGATTGTTACACACTGTATTTATTCTTTGCTAAGATGCTGTACAAAATTAAAAAAAAAAAAATTGCTTTTGTAATTGTCTTGCTACGATTTTGTTATTGCAAACACCCGTACCTAGAATTTCCAAAAATGGAGCAATAAAGTTTAAGTTAATAGTTTGTTATATCCGTCTTGGGATACTTACTATTTTAACAGTGACTAGTGCTTACGTGTAGCATACTACAGTTACTATTCATATACGAATGTTAAATCTACGACTAGTAAATTTTATTACTGTACCTTTGAACTTATACAATACAAGAATAGAAGTGTATGCCAACTCTATTAGATAAATTTGTATCAGTTAGGTATGTTCGACGTCGAATATGATGATATTTCTAGATCACTTAATATGGTTTACTTTTCTCTTTGTACTAGCACGTTATTATCTCGGTGTGCATGCATATTAAGCATGCTGTAGAATAACATCTTGGTTCGGTAAAATTTGCTAGAGGCCTTGTCAGGATATTATTCATGTATCATCTGATATGACGTACTTTTTTCTTGTCAGAAAATTACTATACTGTACCAAGATGTAGAGAGGTAGACTAAACGTGCTCCAATAATGTATAGTTGTATAAAAATTAATTTTTAAAATACATATTATACCAAGTCACGAGTATCAAACCTAGAGTCCCTCAAATTCTCACCTACCGTTCTGAGGGCTAAAGATTCCGATGTGGTTGCTGATTACATTATATATATAAATTTCCTAATCAGCACTTGAATAATTCAGTACAATTGTGTAACTGTAAACAAATAGTTCCATCAATACATGTCAAACGCTGTACCCATATTTTTTTTTATTTACGGAGACTGTTAAGTAACGTCGAAGCGCAACAATTGTTAGATTTTATTATTAAGTATGCAATAATAAAACGAAGAGTCATTGAGATCAATTTTCAGTTGATACATATTTCGTTTATAATACTATAAAGATTGATGAAGAACTGTTAACTAGTACTAAATAATATCAGTGAGTTTCATATATATCGAAATATGACATTGAATAATAATAATAATGATGCCAATCCCATATACAACGTCCTAAAATCGAGTACCAATCTACCTCTACATCTTTACGCTAATTACTTTCAGCTGACAACCTAAGTTACATCTACAACTGTCAACTAGATAGTAATAGCAGTAAGCCGTTTGCTGTGCATTGAATGCACCTATTGACTGTAGATAATCTTTTCTGATATTTTACAATGTACCATTCCAAATTTAATAGTCATCTCCTCGACTAAGAACTTCTTTAACGGTCGGTCTTAGAAGAAGAGTATGCTCAAATTGAGCGGTATAGCAACCTTTTATATCGCAAAGAGGAGGACAAGGATCGATGATGCCGCTATCACATAGACTTTTTAAGGCCAGGAGATACTTTGTCTATAATGTAAGTAATATGAAATAGGACATCATTCATTTCTTTAGGTATAACTAATGATGTATCAATCAACGCATTCATTAGCAAACCTGTCCTAAACGATCTAGCCAGCGTCTGCAGAATGCTAGTGTACCAAAGTTTTGATTTATTACGTTCAATAGTTGTTTAGCGCGTGCTGTTCGAAGTGGGACGTGACCCATCTCAAAATTTTTCATATAATGAGAAGTTTCCATGTCATCATGGACATATCCTTTACCCTATCAATTATAGCCAATATCTCAGAATAGAATTGAAAACTTCCGCTATATTTAAAAGCGCAGCATTTATGCTGTATCGTACCGTACTGCCAAACGTCTCAATAGCATAAAATTCGTTTTCTTCCATTTTAACAGCTTCGCCACCCTTGACAATTGGAACCGTTTTACTGGCATGGATACAATATTGCGATATGGAATGTCCGTTGAGGTTGCGAATAGGCTTAACTATTATTGAGAAAAGCTTTCATTATTTACTGGTTAAAATGTCTAGGCTAGTTGGCCGATCTATCGTGTCATATTATAATACCGCAAGGGTATAAATTATAATAGGTACTCTAGTAGCAGTGCAATCCATCTTTCTTTTAACATTACTATTAGGATTTTGAATTTTTAGTACATCATTTCGTCAACATTGTCATTGCCGTAATGTTATTGTGACCAAGCATGGTCTTGGCAGACAATTTTATCACACAAAACTACTTCAAATAGCTAGCTATTAACGAACCAGGATAAACTTTTCCATCCAATTCAACCTCGTACGATTCCATCACTTCTTGAATTCGTTCACCAATATCGCAAAGACGCACGTCAATACCGGCTTCTCGAATACCTGTATTGGTAGCGTCTTTAACAGCGGCAAGCAATTGATCGTATTTCGGATTGAAGGCAACGGTAAAGGCAGAGTCAATTATCCGACCTGTTGATCGATAATGTAAAAATAAATTCGATCGTACTATCTATTTAAAGGCAAAATTGGTAAGATTCTACTTATTAAGATGCTAAATTAAAACAAATCAGCAAGCAAACGCACGCATCCCATACTTGCATCACAATCAACTGAAAGAACGTAGGCTATTCTATGTGCACTTACGGTACTAATAGCAAATTGGCATCATTATATTAACTATCACACCAGTCTATTTTGGATATTTTTCGATTAATCCAAACTCTTTATTGTGACTACTTTAACGCATAAGTTAAGGAAACGACATCGTCCGTAAGTTCAATGAAATAGTTCCTGCTCAATCTTAAAATATATATATATATACTGTACACACTCCATTTGTAAGATATAGGGTTCAAGAAATCTTACCGTTCACGTGTGTTCCAAAGTCGATCTTGCAAACATCGTCGTATTGTAAAACCGTTTTATCACCAGCATTCGGTGTGTAATGGGCTGCACAATGATTTAGAGAGCATCCAGTGGGGAAAGCTAAGCCGGCCTCCAAGCCTTTTTCGTTGATTAATTTACGGGAAGTTTCTTCTAATCTTTCACATATTTCTATCATAGTCATGCCAGGCTTAATGTAGCTTTGTACATATTTTCTAGTCTAAGAGTGTAGTATTTTTATGTTACGATGGCCGAAATGGGATTGTCAAGTAAAAGTATTAGTCTTTATACACTGTAGTATAACACTATCCTAGGCTATTCTCTAGCTGATACAAGTTTAAAGGATTGACTAACTATGCTACGGTACCTGACGGTGAGCTTCTGCAGCTTGCCTTATATCACTAATGATATCCGAATTCATCATGTCCAGAGCTCGTTTCTCTTCGCTTGTAGTACGATAGGAAGCGGATCCAGTATATTCTGCGATTTCACCTTGTGGATAATTGCCTTTAGGATAGAGTTGACATATCGGAATGGTAGGTGGATCCGTCTGCTGTATAGCGGGTTTATCCTGATCACTAGCTGCAGTCTTCTTTTTCTTTTTCTTTTTTTTCTTACTACTGGTAGTATCGTTGCCTTGTGATGGCTCAACCCCTTCATTGGTGCCGTTGACTTTTACTCCATCTTCATCTTTAGCTAGATTAAAGTATCATGATGGAACGATTAGCTTGTATTTAGCAAAGTCTATTATCCAACATCGTTAAGCTGTTATAATGGAGTGTTTATTTACAAGACTAACTACTCCATCCTGTAGTTGCTTAATAAATGTTGACTTTTTAGGATTCATTTACAGTTAGTTGTTTATGAATGTTACCTGATGGATCGTTGTTGTTCTTGCTGTCTGTCGTCTGTGTGCCTTCTTCTTGTTTTTCTTGATCAGCATCTGAAAGGAAATGAACAAAGACGATGATTGAGTTGATGGACAGCCTTTAGAAATAGACTTTAGGCTTCATCTTGGTTAAGAAGCTATTACGATATGAGTAAGCAAGTCTACTTTATCTACTAGGCATTGAATCATTGGTGTAATGTACTTACTCGCATTGGGCTTCTTCTTCTTTTTCTTTTTCTTTTTCTTCTTACTTTGCTCGTTGTTTGCAGCAACGATCTCAACTTCTTCTTCTTCTGCTTCTTCTCCCTCGTGATCCCCATTCGTCATGGGTGTATCTTCGCTTTGCGTAGTCATAGTAGAATAATATAACTGGATGAATTGCTTAGCAGTTTAAGTTAATATGAACTCGATGAATCGATTTTGGAATTATATGGATTGTCGTTGCCTTCGGAACGGCCAAGAGGGCATAGAAAGCGTAAGGCTGCTGTCCAAATCAACGTATCAAGTGCCTCTATTACTATGGCTGCCCTGGTGAGAATTTACTTACTCGAGATTTTCCTATAGTCCCCCTATCAGGCTCTAACCCGTCCCGTCTCCCGTCCGTTAGACTACAGCATATCGTAGAATTAATTAATTAATTAAAAGAGATTTTGAGCAGGCCATTTGAACATAATATTAAACATTTCATTGTGAACAACGCTGGTATATCGTAGGGGTCAAAAAGATTATGGGGAGACTTACCTCTATCAGGCTCTTCCCTTCCCGTCTCCCGTCCCGTAGACTGCAGTATATCGTAGAGGTAGAAAAGATTTTGGGGAGATTTACCTCTATCAATCGGATTCTACCCCGTCCCGTAGACTACAGTATATCGTAGAGGTAAAAAAGATTTTTGGCGAGACTTACCTCTATCAGGCTCTCCCCTTTCTCGTCTGCCGTCCCGTAGACTACTGTACAGTATATCGTAAAGGTAGAAAAGATTTTTGGCGAGACTTACCTCTATCAGGCTCTTCCCTTTCCCGTCTCCCGTCCCGTAGACTGTAGTATATCGTAGAGGTAGAAAAGATTTTGGGGAGATTTACCTCTATCAATCAGATTCTACCCCGTCCCGTAGACTACAGTATATCGTAGAGGTAGAAAAGATTTTGGGGAGATTTACCTCTATCAATCAGATTCTACCCCGTCCCGTAGACTGCAGTATATCGTAGAGGTAAAAAAGATTTTTGGCGAGACTTACCTCTATCAGGCTCTCCCCTTTCTCGTCTGCCGTCCCGTAGACTACTGTACAGTATATCGTAGAGGTAGAAAAGATTTTTGGCGAGACTTACCTCTATCAGGCTCTTCCCTTTCCCGTCTCCCGTCCCGTAGACTGCAGTATATCGTAGAGGTAGAATCGATTTTGGAGAGACTTACCTCTATCAGGCTCTACCCCGTCCCGTAGACTACAGTATATCGTAGAGGTAAAATAGATTTTTGGCGAGACTTACCTCTATCAGGCTCTCCCCTTTCCCGTAGACTGCAGTATATCGTAGAGGTAGAATCGATTTTGGAGAGACTTACCTCTATCAGGCTCTACAGTACATCGTAGAGGTAAAGAAGCAATATTTTTGTTTTTAGCTCATAAGTACAGACACTGACAAAGTGATACTGAGTTAGTACTGATATCATGAGTTGATGGCTGTGGACTGCAATGATAGTCTAACAGTCTTGAGTGCGGGCCGTAGCATGATCATTTTGTACATAAAATGATCCTTTCTAGACAACGATGGTGGATGTAATGAAAGCGCAGTCGATTGGAGTAGAGTAAGCATGGCTAAGTAGCGCTCTTGACGAACCAGTAAATTCAGTGTAAAGAATTGGAGGCAGAGTGCAGCTGGCAATATCGACTATTTCCTATGGTCTTGGAGAGAATGACTACGGTAGATTAGGTGGTGGGCATGTGACAGGATAAGTCATGAAATAGTAGTAAGAAGAGAGAAGGAATGATCTCGTATCCCAAGGCTCGTACAGTATTAACAAATGCCAATCTCTGATTATATCCACAGTCGGTACGAGGCGATTTTTACCTTTGGATGTTGTCAATTTTGCATCAATTTGCACAAAAGTGCATCGTATCGTGAATGCAATGTTTTAATAGGGACGGATAGCACTTGACTTGAAGATTCTCTATCCGTGATTCAGTTTTACTTTCAAGCTGTAAATTTAGTGCTATAAGCATCCAAAGCTTCATTTTTCCACACACTAAGACTTGCTCTGGATTTGCATGAAGGAAATCAGTAACGTACTACGGCATAAACATGTATATCGATGGCTCGGTATTAACGGCATTCATTGGCAATCTACAGGATAACATATGAGGAAAATGGATTTCGTGTTCATATAAGCACTATAAATGAATAGACTCAAGTTTGGGCAATAAAGGGATACTTCATTGAATGCTGGCTAGGCTTTTATGCTACTAGTCTTACTTTGCCATAACATATCATTCGGAGTTTGGTGTGTAGTGTTGTTAGACATTGGACTATTTTAAAGTTTATTTATTGGGGAACAGGAAGAAGAGATGATATACGCGTATTAAATCTACGGTTAGTAAGTGATTAATTTACCGATGCAGTTACGCAACACAAGAATACAACTGCATTACAATTCTAATGCATGAATTTGTATTATTTAGGTATGTTCGACGTTGGATAAGATGCCATTTCTAGATCACTGGATATGGTATACATTTCTGACGGTACGATGATTTATTTATGAATATCGCGATATGCAAGTTGAGTACGCTTTAAAATAACTACTGTTTTGTTCCAAGTCTTGTTAGGGTGTCCAGTATCAGCTGATAGAATGTATTTGACTCTTGGAAGAAAATTACTATATTGGGGCAAAACGCAGAGGAGTCAAGGCTAATTACATACGCTGATTACATTATAATAATAAAGTTCCTAACCAACACTTGAATAATTCAGTAGTATTGTAGAGCTGTAAGCAAATTGTTCTATCAATATATATCAATCGCCGTATCCATATTTTATTTTATTTCATTTACAGAGACAGTTAATTAACGTCGAAGCGCACAATGCTTCTTATTAGGTAAGAATGCAATAATAAAACGAAGAGTTATTGAGATCGATTTTCAGTTGATGCGTAGACATTTCGTTTAGAACATTATCAAGATTGAGGAAAAACTGTTAACTAGTACTACATTATATCAGTGAGTTTCATATATATCGCAATATGACTTTGAAGAATAATAATGATACCAATCCCATAGACAACGTCCTAAAATCGAGCTCCAATCTACCTCTACATCTTTACGCTAATTACTTTCAGCTGACAATCTAAGTTACATCTACAATTATGGACTAGATAGTAATAACAGTAATTACGCTGTTATCCTGCTTAGCTCTTTGTAATCTGTTAAAAAAAAAGACTTTTTGCTGTGCATTGAATGTACCTATTGACTGTAGATAATCTTTTCTGATATTTTACAAAAGTACGATTTCAAATTTAGTAGTCATCTCCTCGACTAAGAACTTCTTTAACGGTCGGTCTTAGAAGAAGAGTATGCTCAAATTGAGCGGTATAGCAACCTTTTATATCGCAAAGAGGAGGATAAGGATCGATGATGCCGCTATCACATAGACTTTTTAAGGCCAGGAGATACTTTGTCTATAATGTAAGTAATATGAAATAGGACATCATTTAATTTCTTTAGGTATAACTAATGATGTATCAATCAACATATTCATTAGCAAACCTGTCCTAAACGATCTATCCAGCGTCTGCAGAATGCTAGAGTACCAAAGTTTTGATTTATTACGTTCAATAGTTGTTTAGCGCGTGCTGTTCGAAGTGGGACGTGACCCATCTCAAAATTTTTCATATAATGAGAAGTTTCCATGTCATCATGGACATATCCTTTACCCTATAAATTATAATCAATATCTCAGAATAGAATTGAAAACTTCCGCTACGTTTAAAAGCGCAACATTGATACTGTATCGTACCGTGCTGCCAAATGTCTCAATAGCATAAAATTCGTTTTCTTCCATTTTAACAGCTTCGCCACCCTTGACGATAGGAACCGTTTTACCGGCATGGATACGATATTGAGATATGGAATGTCCGTTGAGGTTGCGAATAGGCTTAACTATTATTGAGAAAAGCTTTCATTATTTACTGGTTAAAATGTCTAGGCTAGTTGACCGATCTATCGTATCATAATATAATACTGCACGGGTATAAATTATGATAGGTACTCTAGTAGCAGTGCAATCCATCTTTCTTTTAACATTACTATTAGGATGTTGAGTTTTTAGTACGTCATTTCGTCAACATTGTCATTGCCATAATGTTATTGTGACCAAGCATGGTCTTGGCAGACAATTTTATCACACAAAACTACTTCAAATAGCTAGCTATTAACGAACCAGGATAAACTTTTCCATCCAATTCAACCTCGTAAGATTCCATCACTTCTTGAATTCGTTCACCAATATCGCAAAGACGCACGTCAATACCGGCTTCTCGAATACCAGTATTGGTAGCATCTTTAACAGCGGCAAGCAATTGATCGTATTTCGGATTGAAGGCAACGGTAAAGGCACAATCAATTATCCGACCTGTTGATCGATAATGTTAAAATAAAATAAATTGGATTGTCTGTTGAAAGTCGAAACTTGCTAGATTGTACTTTTCAAGGTGGTCAATCAAAACAAATCAGTAAGGAACTGAAAGCACGTAGGCTGTTCTATTTATTACGCCATGAAGGTACAAATAGCACCTTGGCATCATTATGACGCTAGTCTATTTTGGATATCTTTCGATTAATACATACAAACTTCTTATTGTGACTACTTTAACGCATAAGTTAAGGAAACGACATCGTCTGTAAGTTCAATGAAATAGTTCCTGCTCAATCTTAAAATATATATATATACTGTATGTACACACTCCATTTTGTAAGACATGGGGTTCAAGAAATCTTACCGTTCACGTGTGTTCCAAAGTCGATCTTGCAAACATCGTCGTATTGTAAAACCGTTTTATCACCAGCATTCGGTGTGTAATGGGCTGCACAATGATTTAGAGAGCATCCAGTGGGGAAAGCTAAGCCGGCCTCCAAGCCTTTTTCGTTGATTAATTTACGGGAAGTTTCTTCTAATCTTTCACATATTTCTATCATAGTCATGCCAGGCTTAATGTAGCTTTGTACATATTTTCTAGTCTAAGAATGTAGTATTTTATGTTACGATGGCCGAAATGGGATTGTCAAGTAAAAGAATTAGTCTTTATACGCTGTAGTATAACACTATCCTAGCCTATTCTTTAGCTGATACAAGTTTAAAGGATTGACTAACTATGCCACTATGTGCTACGGTACCTGACGGTGAGCTTCTGCAGCTTGCCTTATATCACTAATGATATCCGAGTTCATCATGTCCAGAGCTCGTTTCTCTTCGCTTGTAGTACGATAGGAAGCGGATCCAGTATATTCTGCGATTTCACCTTGTGGATAATTGCCTTTAGGATAGAGTTGACATATCGGAATGGTAGGTGGATCTGTCTGTTGCACAGCAGGTTTATCCTGATCACTAGCTGCAGTCTTCTTTTTCTTTTTCTTTTTTTTCTTACTACTGGTAGCATCGTTGCCTTGTGATGGCTCAACCCCTTCAGCGTTACCGTTGACTTTTATTCCATCTTCATCTTTAACTAGATTAAAGGATCATGACGGAACGATTAGGTTGTATTCAGCAAAGTCTATTATCAACATGGTTAAGCCACTGCAGCGAAGTGTTTACAAGACATCATTCCTACTTTGATTGTTTGAATCAATGTTGACTTTTCAGGATTCATCGACAGTTAGTTGCTTATGAATGTTACCTGATGGATCGTTGTTGTTCTTGCTGTCTGTTGTCTGTGTTGCATCTTCTTGTTTTTCTTGATCAGCATCTGAAAGGAAATGAAGAAAGGCGATGATTGCGTTGATGGACAGCCTTTTGGAATAGACTTTAGGCTTCATCTTGGTTGAGAAGCTGTTGCGTTATGAATGAACAAGTCTACTTTATCCACTCGGCATTGAATCATTGGTGTAATGTACTTACTCGCATTGGGCTTCTTCTTCTTTTTCTTTTTCTTTTTCTTCTTACTTTGCTCGTTGCTTGCAGCAACGATCTCAACTTCTTCTTCTTCTTCTTCTTCTTCTTCACCCTGATGATGTCCATTGGTCACGGGTACATCTTCGCTTAGTGTCGTCATGGTTGAGCAATAGAACCAGATCAATTGCTTGGCAGTTTCAGTCAATATCAACTAGATAATCGATTTTATGCCCTTCAATACAGATGGTTGGGATAGAAACTTTTGCAAGAGCAGAAATGGCAGCAACTTGCAGACGAGTTTTGAGATTGCAGCCACAACACGATGACGAACCCGATTGGTGAGAAGACGGCCACCAAGGTCGATCGACTCTATCAAACAGTACTGCCGATTGCGGTCTAAATCAACGTATCAACTGCAGTAGTAACTGTTGTTGGCCAACAGCAGGAAGATTTCAGGGTCTGTCTCGACCAGGGTGCTCCCTCCACAGTCTACAGTCTACAGTCTACAGTCGCATACTGTGGACTACAGTACAATCGGATACTGTACCATGTCCGGTACAGTGCACAGTACAGTACAGGGACGACGACTACAGTACCTTCCGGTACTGTACACTGTAGAGTTGGTGGATGAAGGGATCCTGTACTGTACCTGTGTACCACGTGATGAACTTCGGTGGCACTACGCAAAAGAAGCTGTGGAGGCTAAATCAGCCCAAAGTCGATGATAGGCGAGGCGGAAAAAGTCTGCCAGTCCGAGAGTGGACCGTCCTGTCCAAGTTCCCAGCCAGGTCATGCATGGTCTTGTTTACCTTCCCCCAAAACTCCCCTACTAGGGTTTTTCCATGCTTGTACACAGTACTGTAAACTACTGTACTGTCTACTGCACAGTAGTTACTGTACAGTAGACCTGGACTGAGTACTCTCGGACTGACGGATATTTTCCGCATCGCTTATCAAAATACAGTACTGTACTGTGTCCTACCATGGAAAAACCCTTGTACTGTACTGTACTGTATGACTTACAGTACAGTACTGTACTGTAGACCTAGACTGTCACTGGACTCAATACACTCGGACTGACGGACATTCTTCCCATCGCTTATCAAACTATTGTACTGTACTACATAGAGTCCAGTCTCTGGGACTACTGTACTGACGGACATTTTCCCCATCGCCTTACACTACTGTATGACTTACTGTACAGTAGACCTGGACTGAGTACTCTCGGACTGACGGATATTTTCCGCATCGCTTATCAAAATACAGTACTGTACTGTGTCCTACCATGGAAAAACCCTTGTACTGTACTGTCCTTTGGGGATACTGTAAAGAAGACCATGTACTGTACAGTACTGTATGACTTACAGTACAGTACTGTACTGTAGACCTAGACTGTCACTGGACTCAATACACTCGGACTGACGGACATTTTCCCCATCGCCTTACACTACTGTATGACTTACTGGACTGTAGATTTTCGGATCGCATTTCGGATTTTATGTAGCGCTTTCAATCGGATTAAATGTTTAGTCGTAGTGGGGTTATAATACACTACTGTAGACCTAGACTGTCACTGGACTAACACACTCGGACTGACGGACATTCTTCCCATTGCTTATCAAACTATTGTACTACATAGAGTCCAGTCTCTGGGACTACTGTACTGACGGACATTTTCCCCATCGCCTTACACTACTGTATGACTTACTGTACTGTAGACCTAGACTGTCACTGGACTCAATACACTCGGACTGACGGACATTCTTCCCATTGCTTATCAAACTACATAGAGTCCAGTCTCCGGGACTATTGTCCAGTACTATACTGTACGACTCTACAGTACAGTAAAACAGTCTACAGTGTACAGTACGGTACTGGATGCCTGGCAGTCGAGTACATGTACTGTACATCTTGTACTGTACGGTAGCAGGTCTAGTCAGGGGAAAGTCAAACCAGTTATTGTACTGTTGCGTCACCATTCAAACGTCAGACTAGCGCAGTGACATTCGATGACTGACTCACCGAGATTATCCAACTGAAAGTGCTTCCGCCATTGAATTCAAGTTTCTCCTCTGCTTTCCTTGATTTCCTTTGCAGTCCATTGCTAGAAATTTCCTCGTCAATTCCACCTTTGCCTAGGTTTCATTTCCTATCCAACAAGGAGACACAAACATACTGTGGTGGAATCGGGTAGACAAGAGGAACATTGATCCAATCCAAGACGTTGAAAATGGCATCCAAAGAAGCCAGTCAAAAGCAATTCAAGTTCATCAAAGACAAATTAGATGGCAATCATTTGGATTTGAGTTTATGCAGTTTAACTAAGATTCCTGTTAAAGAATTGGTAAGTACATTGGTCATTTTGTCATGTCAACATGTCAAGGACTTGCAGTTATGCTTGGCCATGTTGTCTATCCTATGTCATTCCATTCTTCAACCACCATTGACGTACTGTACGGTAGCCATCAACAATCAGCTCCGTTCCTGCTCAACCTTCATAACATGCTACTCGACCATGCAGGATGATAGTCAGTTAGTGGTGTATTGCTTCTTCTTCTTTACGATCTCAATGAGTAGAAAGACTATTCTCAACCTTTCTATCCAATAGAGACACTGTAGGCAGTTGCTGCGGAGTAGCGCCTACGGTAGAGGAGGATTCTATTTGGACAGATTACCGACTAAAACGTTCATCACATGGATAAAGAATAACATGTACAGTAAATCATGCAACTGCCAATCGCTTACCAACTATTACTATAGCGTAACTAGTCTTGACAAGCTAGCAAAAATAACATAACGTTGTCATTGCCAATCCAGGGAAAACTTCTACTTGACATCATGCAATCACCTGCACACCTGCCTCTTCATACTAGAGGCAATCATCACCTCCAACCAATGGATAGGAAATTGATTATCTTTGCAAAACACGATAATATCATGACCAAACAATCGACTGCTGCCATAGTATGAAATGGACTTGAGTGGATAGAAAGTCCTTCAAGCAAAGTAATTGTACGTACTGGATGTGCTATAATCCTACCAGTGGATACAGTCAAGAGTATGATCGACAAACAGAATCAATGGAGTCGTAGTCAAGTTGAAATTAGAAATTTGCGGTAAAGCAACGTGCGTCCAAGCTATCCTTTAGCACGACCCAATAGGAAGATTAGAGTAGTCATATTAACAAAAGCAAGTTGACACAGTAATTGCAAGTGCAGGTAGAAAGTTGAACTTGACTGGATAAAATCCAACCCTTTGTACTGCACAATGTGCAATGTACAGCAATCATTTCACACCATCATCAATGGCCATCTCCAATAAGCAATAGACGAATGCATATCAAATGATTAATGCTTACAAAATGATAGTATTGCAAAACAACGTATTCTTATCTTGATAATAAAATATTGTGTTTTATTCTCTTCCTTACATAACTGTAAAGTCGATGATTCCTAAAGCAAATCAAGTCGATCTCAGCTGCAATCAATTAACCAGTATTCCGGTGAGTTAAAACTACCCAAGTTAACTCTATCTTCTATGTTATATCAGCAACCTCTCATGCAAACATGAGGTCAATCTGTACGGAGAGGTGGTGTGGTTTAGGCACAAGCATACAGTGAACAAGTATTATACAATGCAAAATAGATGCTTTTTGAGGGGGAATACAGTAAATTGGCGAATTCGATATTGAGTACGTAGACACTAAGCAGTATAAAACAACTGCTAAAGGTGTTTTGAGCTGTTCTTATCCTTAAGGCATGCAATAGATACGATAGAATTTGATACACAGTAATATCAATGGTGTTACAGTACATAATGTTAGACAAATAAATTATCAAAGTAAGGAAATACTTGCAAAAAATCATTCTTAGAATGCTCGTTACTCTTCCCTAGTTTTTACTGACGTTGCAATCAGTTTTATAGCTCTACAGATAGGCTATGCCATTCAGTCTTGTCTAAATTTGATCTGTAACTGTAATTTCTACTACCTCCATTCATTACTTTGCTTTTATGCACTGCTGAAATAGGAATCATTTTGCACCTTGTCCTATATCGTAATGTTGGATTTAAGTAGTAACAAGTTAACAAGCTTGCCGTCGCATTTTGGTCAACTTCGTAATCTGAAAAAATTAGAGTTATACCGCAATCAATTAACCGATTTACCAAGTAGCATGTTTAAATTAGCAAACTTAAAATGGTTAGACTTAAAAGATAATCCTCTTAATCCAGAATTAAAAGGCATCGCTGGTAACTGCGTGACAGAAAACGAATGCAAAAATTGTGCTGTTAAGGTATTGCTCGTCTGATTATAAGTTATAAAGACAATAATTGTATTAACGGTAAGTAGGTAGAATGCGCTCAATAATATGCAATTGGGATTATCGGATGCCATTGTTGGCAGGTTGTAGGTCATTTGAAAAAACGACAAGCTGATGAAGAAAGGAGCAGACAAGAACAGCTGAAAGAACAGCAGAAACTCGAAAGAGGTTAGTTAATCGAGATTGATAATGCTACAAAAGAATTGAATAGTTGTTATGGCTATTATTCCTTGTCAGAAAATAAACCTATTTAAGGAAATGCCACTGTTACAATTTTAAAAAGAGTACTAATAAAGAGGAAAGGCTCTCTTACATTAAAATGTATTTGTTTCTCAGAAAAAGAAGCTCAAAAGAAGGCCGAAGAAGCGAAAGAAAAGGAAGTGCTACGTCGACGTAAAGCAGAGGAGAAAGAGAAACGTAGAAAAGAATACCAAACTCAGTTACAAAAACAACAGAGTCAAGCTGCTACAAAATCAGTCAATGAAGATACCGATCAGGACTTGGACACTAAAGCAGTTAATTCAGGTGAAGTTCGCAATGTACATTTTATAACATACAGTACTTAAATCGACCACTCACATGCAGTTAAGGATACCTTTAATCCAATAGTGTAATGTAAATTTATTACTTAAATATCAATATGGCTTTTTACATTACACACTTGTATCGCAATATTAAATAGTTTAACTTTAATTTCGCTGATTGAGACATTTTACAGCTTGGTTTTTCATGTAGCCAAACTTTAATGACGTTGTTATCATTCGTAATAATATTAAAGGATTAGCTCGTAGTTACCTTATTTATCTTCTTTTTTATTAATCTTTCATTTTAATTCTCAATTTGTAGGAAATGTGAGGAAAAGAGAGTCAGGAAATATCTTTATAACATTGTTACTATTAGTTGTAGTCGTAGCTGTATTGCTAGTAGGAATTCTTTATGGCTGTCGAAATAATTCACACGAAATTTGTCGAAAAATTAAAAGTACTAAATGGTTTGATTATGTAGCCGATAAAATAATGTAGGCATGGATAAGTATCTAGTAATACATTTAAAATCTGATATGCAAAGAGGCATAAAAAAATAAAGATTGCCAGATATTTTTAAAAATTTTCTTCTTTGTCGCTTCGATGTCCATGTGCTCCATGAATAGGTTTAATGATACAGTAATGTTATTTGTGCTCAATTTCTGAATTATAACGCTCCATTTACCACTTCAAAAAGTGCTCTTTAAGTGCAGTTGAATACAAATTGAACTGAAAGATTCGCAAGAACGAAAATGTAAATTGGACTGGAAGTTCTGCAAACGTGCTCATGGCAGTATTGTGAAGCTCATATCATAAGCAAGTGTACGGTTATCAATTAAGTGAAATTACACTTAAAGCCTTTATTGCAATTATCATCATTACTATCCGTAGATAAAGTTACTGTACCCAAACTCTTGGGTATGGACTAACTCACAGTCACTTGCCATGATAACCGTGTTCGTCCGCCAAATCGTGAATAACTCTCTGATTATTCATGTTCTATCTGAACGCAATTATTAGATATTCAAGAAGTTTCTATTATTACGCCAATTGAGGTGCGCTATGGGCAAACCTAGCAAGGACTATTGTACTTGATATACGAGTACAAAGTTCGAATAAATTACAGCGATGTCATAGAATGATTCGTTTGGGGAATTTTTCAATTAAATGATCTTATCCTAAAATTATCATTTGTTTTTTTTAATATTAATTTTTATAGCCATGTCAATATAAATCACACTAGATAATGTTGAAGCACTATTACAATGGTATTTTTATCGAACATGAAACTGATCATCTTTGTTACTATACATAAAATTAGCCTTCTGTTTATTTCTGTTCAGGTTTTCGATCTCTTCTGACCACAGGTGATTGCTGACTCAGTCGATTCTAAAATAAAATGGAGGTGAATTAATTTTTGTTTTATCCATCGACTATATAGAAAACTGAGTCAATCATGACTAGGAATAAATCAATAGCTGCCGCTGCAGATACTTCTTCTCATTTAAGCAACCTCACACCTGTTTCTCAACTTGAGAAAGATATCTCAAATCCTGCTGTATTATCAGGAAAGAATCGGCTGCACTGTCGCTGTGGCTTGTGGACAAAGATGTTCCATGATTCTGCTTATCTGACTGCGAAGCTGCTGATAGGCGTCTTATAACTCTTGCAAGGCGCACTTCGTCGATTGAATTATATATACTCTCGTTATCACTGTCATTGGATGATTGGGATCCAGAAAGATTTGTTTTTGCTATAGCAGAATCGGCAAGATTCGACTCCTGCAATATCTGAAGAAGATTTTCTTGGTTCTTGATACTTTGATTTGCGTCGCGTTAATAAATGGAGAGTTATTCCAGTTTAAAACTAATAAAGCTGTTAAGATAATGCATACTCGCCTTTTGTACTAAGAAAATGTACCTGATGTACCAGTAAGCATTTGCTGTTAGTCTATCGATTAAATGGTGTGCATTTGTTCTATATCCTGTATGATGGAAGGACACATTCCTATCTTAACATGTGGTATTCATTAGTCTATAGCATCAACAAACGTTAGGCATTGGCTGGGGATTGCAATTACTTATTTTGGGGGTAATTTGTGTACGTGTGTATAAATATTGCAATTGTAAATACAATATACAAACAAATTCATGGATATTCATCAAACTTGGATGCACAGCTAATTACTATCTGTTTTACTTTTATTGCACCTATTTACGAGGATGTCGAACTGGCTTCTGATCGCATTCATGCTGTTATTGTTTTTTTTATTAGGTAGCGTTATCCAAGCATTATGCTGTAAGGAGTAAATCTGCTTTGTGTTAGCTATAGACATCGTCAAAATAGTAAAACTACAAATATTATTTTTAGATTTTATGAAGAAGAAACGCTTCCATAATCATATATTTAAATATAGTTCAGTTGGACATTATAAGAGCGCTAAAGTTAGCGATAATTTGCATTAAACTTTACATAGCCGCGAAAGAGCTGTTTTTATACAGTATGGTAATAATTTATTTACAGTTTATTTCTACGTGAATATAACATATGAAGTAGTATTGTATTGCAATCGTTCTATGATTAGGATATCACGAGACGATACGGTAAGTTTTTGGTTATTAACACTAATCCGTTGATGTCCGTACACAGTCTTAGAATAAAATTCTTATTTAATTTTCGATACATGCTCGTAATTATAAAGACGGCTTCTAGATTTGTTGCAGTAAGATCAGTATCGTTCATAATGTGGATTATAAACTTTTGTAATTATTTGTAAGCCATTTCGATTATCTTACAATTGGCTCTATCGGATTCTCCACAACATAGAATCTTAATACTTGTGCGCTTAATTCTTTGTTACTATCTTAAGATCATTTAATTTTGGTTGGTATATTCATGATATTTTAGTGTTCTCATCACGTAACGATCTCAGTACTTGCAAAATTGCCTGTAACACCCAAAAATATACAATTATTCTAGTTTGGTGATGATAAAGGAAGGAGCGTTTTAATAATATAGTATGCTGATTGCTTTTATGTCAGAAATGAGCTGTTCTGCAAGATATCGCTCCAGACAGCATCAAACCAGTGCTATAAGCTCCTCGTCATCCCTTTAAATCTATATTTCAGTGGAAAACTTAAATATTACATAAAATACGTGAATAGCTAACCTAACACATAAAACAATTCTATGATGATGGAAGTCTTGTTTATAAGGTTGTATATGTAGTTCACAGTACAGCTTAAGCCTTGACCATTATTGTTTTCAACCTTACATAGCCGACGGTATGGTATGACGAATTATTCTTTGACCAAAATCATAGTAAAAACTGCCAGATTTATTATTATGAGAACAAATGCATTGTATGTATTAAAATATCGATGGTAGAATTTTTGTTTTATGGCAATGATTTAAGAAATTTGAGAAGATTAATAAATTCATTAATTATAATCTGTTAATACTGATGCAACTATGATCGAATGAGTATGCCGAAAGAAAAGATACAGTAAGAAAAACAAACTTAAAGTTAAATTTCTAGTTGGGTTAATCAAATCGAGCGTAGTTAACTTTCGTCTCTAATCCTACATAGGGTTGTGTAACTGCACATTACAATCTATAATTATATAATTTATATAGAAATTTAAAAAAAATTACCTATAATTTTCACCGATAATTAGAATAGCTTTAAAACAAGGTGTAAAAGAAGTGATGATGTGCAAATTACTAATTTATTTTTGCATCATACACAAATAACTGAGTAATATCAAATAAAGACTACTATTGGCTACATGTATGAATATGGTTTGGTCCTAATAGAATTAGTAGTTTGTAATCAATTTTCAATCCATAGACATTTGTTATAGTAAGATAGTACGGAAGAAATTGTTAAGCTGTAGGGGTACTTTTCATGTTTTGGTAGAGCTAATCGCTAAAGCAATATCATTCCGACCTATTCGTCTCAAAGCTGTCTTCAGTCCATCAACATTAACATTTGGGCAATTTTTATTATACCAGATATCGAGAAATTTCATTACTTGATCGAAAACTCTACTTTCTTGAGCTTTGATTGTATCAACATCGATAAATGGGCCTAATATAGCAGCCAGTTTTGTCCAATCGATGCCAATTCTATCTGCAATTTCGAAAAAGCAATTCCTTGGATCTATAGAGTTACGGCAATATTGCAAATAAATTAAGATGAAAAATGCTTAAACGAGAAATATTGCTAAATAGTACTTGTAATTAATATAAATAATGATTTGCCAATGTAAGAACTTTGCTATATATGTAGAATTTAAAATATAAGATATAATAAGTTTGCATTGCATGCATATAGAGTACAAGAAATGGCTGGAAATATAGAAATACAATCAAATAAAGCAGATATAGATCAGCCGGCTAATTTTGCACCGAATATTATATCTACGCTGATACATTACGAGATCAAGCAATCATTAAACTGTATCTTTGGGATATAGCTTTGTTTTTATCTATAGTAAAATATTTATACAAGTATAAATACTATATGTATTTTTATACTTAGTTCAGCTGCTTCTACAACAAATATTACATATTCCTTTCTTGTATTTAGTTGATAAAATATTGAATACATCATAGCAAGATGTTTATTTGATAAGTGTTACACTCACCATGTCTACTTGCCACTTTTTTCTTTTTACCGAAATTCCGATCACGTATTGATTCTGATTTATGCGATCCTTTACGTTTACCAAAGCGATTGATATCTGATGTTTCTGCAAAATAGTTAGAGACTACTTCCGTCATCTTGTCAGCTAAGATAATAATCATTATTTTGAGAGATTACGCAGTTAATTTGAAGAGTAAATGCCGTAATCGATACTGTTAGAAAATAGATACTATTAACAAGATCGCGAATTCATCACTAAAGCAAGTAAATGTTATACCTATTGGAACATGGTATAATTTACTTTTATTTACTTTATTGCTAATTTACTTGACAAATACACTGTTTAAATTGAGATGCATTTTAACTTCTTCATTAAGTAATATCTAGTCTATATCTTTACCCACCGTATGTATTTGTTAATCTTTCCTTTCTAAGAAGCATCCAGTCACGTGTAGGCTTCGATTTAAAAAACTTCTCACATAAAACACAACGAATAATATCTACACTATCCGCGAAATAACTATCCACTATTTCTGTCATCTTACTACATTCATTACATCTAACATAAAATCTACTTTGTGCTGATTTAAACTTTGGCATTCTTTCATTAATTGTCTCGTTTAGTTTATCTCTAATTATTATATGTGGTTGTATCTTACTAATCCAACTACCGATATTATTCTCAATCCGAGACGCAATTTCTTTCGGATATTTCTGATAGCAATAGAGTAAGCTAATACGAGATTCTTCTTTCTTAACAACAATCTGACATTGATAATCAGGTATGTAGTATTTAGCACATCGATAATAAACTTTTACTCTTGAGTTATTCCACACTTTTAAACAAGCCGATAAAAGGCAATAAAATATACCGTCAGGAATATACGGTATAACTTTTTCGTCGTATCCAATGTATAGCCAATCTGATACACGATAATCTGTTAGATCTAACGTACCAACAGATGAATTAAGTAGATAAGGTATAAAATATTGCTGGTGACATTCTTTGTTATCAAGACTATCATGTTGATCCTCAATTTTACAGATAATATTATAACTATCCATTAATTGTAACACGAAATCTTTCTCTTTCTTTTTCAATTCGAAATCTACTACAATATTATCAATGTACGCTTCAGATATTTTTCCAGTCTGATAAGCTTGATTATAAGATTCTCTTACATTAGTGGCCTTATATTCGCGTTTATCGAGTTTAATAATCGATCGAAATATATTGAGTAGCCAATCGAGATTAGTTACAATCATTTCTTCTACGCCTTTTTTACGACAATATACAATATCGCCTATATCATGTAAGTATAATAACATACTACGCAATTTCTCATCGTTTTCATATAACTCGCAATCTATAGCTAACTGCTTTACTTCTTCCAATGTCATAATATTATGAATTCTATTAATAATACGATTAAACTGTGTTGTTGATGCGGCTTGTCTGCTTATGTCATTAACTGATGTATGCAATATAGATGCCATAATATACCATCGAATCGGAATCGATTTTTTCATAAAAGGTAAACTAGACACGATTCGCTTTATTAATTCATGTAACTGTAACGTAGTCTGTCGACGTTGCTCGATAGCCGCTGAAGATTTATCATCGGGATCGCAATGAAATATGATGTCTGAAAAGCATATATTAGATTTATAGATAGGCATTGTTACAATAATAGAATTCTCAAACGCCTTAAATCTACGTTGACGCTCTTGACAATCTTGTATTTGATCGCCATGAGATGCTACTAAGATGACAACTGGTAAAGAATATTGTTGCAATTTACCATCAATTTCTACTTGGACAGTCTCATCGCCATCATGGCTACCAATAATCGATGTAAGCCATTCTTGCATAGCATATCGATAAGTCATATTAGTTGGGTTTCCTTCTCTATCAATAACAAAGTCATCGAAATCACGAGTAATATTAAAAACTAAAATATAGATACTATTTCCAGATAGAAACGGACGATGCGTAACATGATAGACAGCTTGACCTCCGAAATCGACTAATTTACCATATTGATTATCGTCATCTACTATTTCGCCTTTCATATCGATTATAGATCGCATAAAATCTTCGTACATTAAGATTTTGTGGATTTTTTGTGTTATTGAGACAGTAGATACAAGGGTATCGATAGCCATAGGTCGATTATCGCTAATTACCGACTTTATTTTATCAGTGCTAATAAATGTGTCTGTTTCTATCGTCTGTATTTGACGATCTACTTTACTAACTTGGATATCTGGGTTGATATTAGGTACAATATTCAGTTTTGTCTTGAATTTTTGTATAGCTGCTAACACTTTCCTATACAATACTATCTGGAAGTGATAAATCTTCTTGTCTAAGATATTATATACAATAAGATTAACATATCTGCCGGTGTCGTCGATAATCTCAGTTTGGCTTACGCTAATAATTATTCCTTGATTTGTAAATACGTTCATAATAGTCGTTTTACCCACACTTTCAGGACCGGCAAAGATAATTTTAGTAAAATCATTACGACATTGTCCATCTTGCAGCGCTTCATTATAAGCTTTAATGTATTCTTTATCATTGATAGCTAAATTAATATTAATTGATCAAATTATTAACCACAATAGGAATAGTTGTTAATATACAGGATCAATATCTATCAACGACTAGGTTATGAGCGTAAATTAATTAAATTAAACTTCGTTTACGTAGTAAATAATAGTTTTTAAAAATAAATCTATTCAAAGAAAATGGAAATTTAGCGATTTACAGTATTAATGAAATCAAATATTCAAGTTTGATCGCTGTATCATTAAGTAAACTATAGTTGCTATCAAGGTTGACAGTATTTTATGATAGATGAGAAGTAGAACAGCTCGTTAGTAATAAAAGTAGATAAAGATAATGCAGTATTTTCTTACCATCTGTATATGTGGAATTTTTACTTTTTAAATCCGTATTTGCGACTTTGAGGCTACCCTCTATTCATCAATTAATTATATATTAGTGAAGTCACATAAGTGATAGCTCGCAATTCAAATTCTTGAGTAAGTCGTAGAGTTCAGCATTTACCTTGTAGTATTTTCATGGCATAACTCGATAATAATGGATTCGACTGAGCTTGTAGTAACATAGCGTTAAGATTCTCTATTATTTTATTCTGTTTTTGATTACAGAGACTGGCTATTAATATTATCAAATGGTCTTGCGATAAATTTCTCTCTAGCCAAAATCGTAACATATTCGTAGCTAAAACCGAACTATGGCTTGCATAACGACATTGTTGCTCAAGATATTGGATATCATCATTAGAAATGCCCAAATGGATTGCCAAGTTTATCCACTTATCTCCAATACCGTTTGCAATAGTAGAATAACATACCTCTATAGCGTAAAATACAAGAATATTTGGAATGGCTATTACAGCTATATTAAATAGTTAAAGATTATGTGTTTTGTACATTGTAATCAATTACTGTTCATTATCACACTATTAGTCTTAACAAACAGTTAGTGTTAATCGTTGTCGTTAGATATTTGATTTTAGTACAAAAAATTTGCACGGGTGTAAACTCTAGTATTAATGTGTATATTTATAATAATTATTTAATGTCCCTTGATCCATTTTACTACCAATTACTAACCATTGAACTTTTCTATTGCGGCTTTTTCTTCATCGATATACTTATTGGTCGAATTATCTTCAATTTCTATATCATTTTGGTCAAGTCCTACTGTATAACATAATTGTAGCCTAAAATTATTTATTTGAATACATATCGGTAATTGTTTAGGATTATGAAATGTTAATCCTTGTATGGTTAAATTACCTTTACCATTTCAAACATTTTAAATGATACCGTTGTTGATATGTTGAAAATAATAGTACATTATTTCTTTATTATAACTTACTGACATATTAATTTACCAAAAGAATACTGATTAAAATATAATTTTAGATGTCTACTATATAACATACTTTCTGTTTATGGCATTAGATTGCATTAGTACAGGCTCTTTTTAGTCTTATAGCTTAATAAGAATGATCGACTAAACAGAGTTAAATCGCTATGCAGTGTAACGTTACATCGATATCTAATAAATAAACTGCTGCAACCTTGATCACTACTTTGCATTGAGTGTTGATCTTGATGTTCCTCGACTAGAAATAAAGAACAGAGTTAAGATTCTTATCAAAATTAGAGCAAACAGGTTATCAGTCCTGCTTGTAGGCAGAATTTTACCATCTAGTGCTACTTTCATGCTAATTTCGTTTAAAAAAATAAGTATTGTTACTTAGATAGCAGGTAAAATTTGCGTAAGTTATTTTCTTGTCAGAAACGATCTACGATTACGAAAATTTGTTGTATTTAAATGATGTGATGTATAAAGTACAGTAGTAATTTGTACTAAAACTAGGACAGAAAATTGTAGTAAAGATATTCTTCTTGATTTTACCAATGTTATCTTGTTTTGTTGTTAATTAATCATTATTTTATATATGCAAGAATATTCATTCAGTTTATATGAATACCGATTTCTAGGGTGTATTACTTTCTTAGAGTTTGTCATTTGAAAGAAAACTCTTTTATTGTGCTGAGTAGGTGATGGACTTTTAGCTCATTACTTCTCTTTTATGGGATATTCTGATGATAAACCCTTCAACGTTGAACTTGTTGTAATGTCGTCATGTCATAACACTAAACTTACGTACTATTTGAAATAAAATATAATGTCCAATGGCAAAAATGCTTCATCGACTAATGTATGCTTGATTTAATATCGCTTAAATAAGTTATTAAAATTTTCTAGTTGGGTCAGTAATGTTGATGTCTAATTCTGTTTACTAATAATTGGAAATACAAGTTTTAGTTTTGAACTACACATGAGAAAATTCATAAATAGTAATTGGACTGTACCAATCTGTTCATAAATTGTCCTTCAACACGATTAATATTTTGGGCAGAAGAAACATTAGGAAAATCATGAACTAATTTGCAAAATTCAAGTTGATTTAGCTTATAAATTAAGGCTGTAAAGGAGTCAAAGACTTGTTGTATGGAAGTATTACGATATAGAATATCATTCCTAATTGGGCTAAATGAATTATATAATATAGAACTGCTGTCTATTAAAATTGAATGAATGAAGGATGGCTCTCTTTTCAATCCAAATGCTATGCTTTAAAATCATTACTGTTTATTATGAGAACGTAAACTGTTTATGTTACACTCATTAATCATTAATTATAATATAATTGGAGTAGAACTAGGTATGGAGAGAAATATGAAGTTAATTGCTATCGATGACATTCATGCTACTACCGTATTCTAGCGACAGTAGTTGTTGATGGAAAGAAAGAACAAAAACATGAGTGTGGTATATTAGTGAGTTTGAATTTTCAGATCCGATTAAGGTTCAATTATTCGGTATGTTCCTTTTAACTTTAAAATGAGTGAAGTGGTCCAAGTAGATGCCGTATCTTAATAAAATTATTTCATAATTTTCATAATAAAGCAAGAATCAATAACCAGAAAATTCTATCGTCTCTCAGATTATAGCTAACTTGCCAATCAAAGTAATGAGTATAGCATTAGCCTTAACGATTAGTTTACTCAAACAAGCTATGTTTTATGTTATTATTATGAAATGAGATTTTCGTTCGTTGTATCGATACAGTTTCTATATTCTAAGGTAACTATAACTTTAACTTATTCTGTTTGACTATAGTAGCACAGGAATAAAATTTATAGTATGCACGTTAGTAGAAGAATTTATAGATGAAATAGTTGCCTGAATGCATTTCTTACAAGTTATCATTTGTTGTGCATTGTTTATCGGCAGTTATCTTATTTGCAAGAATGTTATCGTATTCGTTAGTATTTGTAATATGCCGTTAGCAAACCGTTAGCTTTGTTCAACTATATAACGGTACAGTTATAGCTATAAAAGTTTAGTTCAATACTCTAGCTTTACTCGACTCTTGTAGAAGATTTCTAGCAAATCTTCCTTGTTACAAAGTAGAAGAGTTTCGGAAAAGTAACGGTTATGCTAACATTTTAATGAAATTGTTGATGTAAATTAGGTATTTATTGGAACGTAAAAGGTGAAAATATATTGGATGAAAAATTGTTCGAGTAGTGCTGAAATCAAGAAATTACCTGGTGATCGTGTAGAACGATGGATGACTGTTGGATTGATTGTAAGTTGCTGATGAAGAATATTGGCTATTTTTGATGCGACAATCTCATCCCCTTTTTCTTCCAATAACAGTAAATTATTACATTTATCAATTTCTTTCGTGGAATAGAGGATTTGAGGGTGATTTTCTTCATAGAGATTGCGTAGACTATCGATGGATTTTCGATAGTATAAGATTGCTTGGAGATAATTAGACTGTCGGCGACAGACTGCGGCTAGTTTTTGATAACATTGCGCAGTCTGAGGATGATTCTCGCCTAATGTTACTAAATAAACTTGCAATGCCTTGTTATATAGAGATAGAGCATCATCGAGTTTTCTTTGCTTACAATAGGTAAATCCAATATTAATATACGTTGAAGCAATATTTGGATGATTTTCGCCAAATTCTGCTAGATAAATCTTTAATGATTTGTTGTACATTAATAGAGCGTCTTCACACTTGCCTTTTACCATATAGATAGCTCCAATATTGTTGTAGGTTGCAGCAATGCTTGGATGATTATCACCAAGTTGTGCTAGTTCAATTTGCAATGCATTGTTAAGCATTAATAGAGCGTCATTATGCTTTTTTTGATGATCATAGACAGCTGCAATGTTGTTATATGTAGTAGCAATAGTCGGATGATTCTCACCAAGTTGTTGTAGTTGAATCTTAAGTGATTTGTTATGCATTAATAGAGCGTCATCATAATTTTTTTGGCTATCATAAACCAATCCAATTTTGTTATACGTTGAAGCAACTTTAGGATGATTATCACCTAATTGTGCTAGTTCGATCTTGAGCGATTTGTTATACAGTGATAGAGCATCCTCATATTTGCCTTGATTATAATAAACAAGTCCCATGTTACCGTAGATGAAAGCAAGACTCGGATGATTTTCACCCTGTTTTGGTAGTTTAATTTTCAGTGATTCTTTCAATATAGATAGAGCGTCATCGTACTTACTTTGCTTATTGTAGACTAGTGCAATGTTGTTATATGTTACAGCAACATTGAGATGATTTTCACCAAGCTGTGCTAGTTCTATCTTCAGTGATTTGTTATGCATTAATAAAGCATCGTTGTACTTGCCTTGTTCGTAATACACTTGTCCAATATTGCTATATGTAATGGCAATTTTGGGATGATTTTCACCAAATTGGACTATTTCAATGTTTAATGATTTGTTATACATTAATACAGCGTCATTATATTTGCCCTGATGGTTGTAGATATTCGCAATTTTCTTATAGGTTGTAGCAACATAACGATGATTTTCACCAAGTTGTATTAATGTAATCTTGAGTGATTTGTTTAATATTGCTAGAGCGTCATTATACTTGCCTTGATTCGTATAAACTTGTCCAATCTTGTCATATGCTTTAGCAATATTTGGATGATTCTCACCAAAATGCTTTAGTCGAATCCCGAGCGATGTGTTATACATTGCGAGAGCGTTATCGTACTTGCCTTGATCAATATAGACATCTCCAATGTTGCAATAGGTTATAGCAGTGTGCGGATGGTTGTCATCAAGCTGAACTATTTGAATTTTTAATGCTTTATGATGCATTGATAAAGCGTCCTCATACTTGCCTTGATTACTATAAACAAGTCCAATACTGCTATACATTACGGCAGTATTTGGATGTCTGTCACCAAATTTTGCTATTTGAATCTTCAATGATTTGTTATACATTGATAGTGCTGCATCATACTTGCCTTGATGATTATAAACTGCTCCAATGTTGCTATATGTTGTAGCAATAGCTGGATTATTGTCACCCAGCTGTGCTCGATCAATCTCCAATGATTTGTTATACATTAATAGAGCGTCATCATATTTGTCTTGCCTACTATAGACTTGTGCAATGTTGTAGTATGCTAAAGCCATTTTTGGATGATGATCACCAAGTTGTTCTAATCGAATCTTCATTGATTTTTTATACATTGATAGAGCCTCATCATACTTACTTTGTTCATAATAGATATCTCCAATGGAGTTATACGAGTAAGCGACATTGATATCTTGACTCCCTAAACAATTTAATTTCATTTCAAGTGACTTATTAAATTCGGTTAAAGCTCCTTCGAAATCACCTTGCAATCGTTTAATGAAGCCCTGATGATCTAAACACTTTGAAATTTTCTCTTCATTTTGTAGTTGCTTGGCTATTTTCTCTGCTTTCCTGCTCCATTCATCGATTTTTATTAATTCATGCAGATGTTCATAACATTTAGCTATATTAAGATAAATATCACATTCAAGATGACGAAGACTATGATCGTTACTCTCGGATATCAATTGAATTTCGGTTGCAGCTTCCATGAAATAAGATAGCGCTTGTTTATAATTGCCTTCTTTTCGACATTTCACACCCTTTTGGTTTATGGATTTGGCTTCGTTCAGGACATTCACACTAGTCGACGTACTCGCCATATTTCAGTTTATAGCAGGACCGAAAGCATTTACTCTGATAAAATAGACAATAACACTCTACCAGAAACAAATTTTAATTGTAATAGCAGTACGAAAGATCAGTACAATCGCTTGTTTAAAGTTATTCAACTGTCAATATACCGTATATCGACATCAACGTAATTACCGCAATAAAGTCTAGGTAGCATTTTATTCTAGAGTTTGTATATATAGTATTTTACATACATATAAAGATAAATGGAATTACACTACAACTTGACAACGAAATAGCCATCAATCTCTGAATTCTGTATCCTTCAATTAATCAGTAATTTTTATGATATGAAAATTACCTTCTGTAGTAATTGCAATAAGAGAAATAGAAAATAAAATTTTCCTTTACTATAGTAATTTAAATTACAAATACTGTATGATGTTATTTTCTAAGCGGGGATAATGGTGCTTTTGGTGAGATCTTTGTAAAGATTGTATATTTACTGCGGTATATCATCAAAGAAAGACCAAGAATAATTAAGACTGTTGGATAAATATTATATAGTCTTTGTTGTACAGTAATCGTTATTGTGGAAAATGGATGCAAGATTATAAAAGTGAGGGCGACGTAATAGAGTCAGATTGCTATAATACTGTTGACTATTCACATTCTCAGTTAATATCAAAAATCACTCAACCGTCTTAGTAAGAAAGGGATACTTTATTGTAGTTTATAATGGCCAAACTCCCTCCCAGAAAAATTCCCGGCTTTTATACCCTCGATAGCAGATTATACCATAGAGGGCCTGCAGAATCTACAGTAAGTCTTCCTAATGCTTGCAAGCCTTGATCATGCAGGTTCTTCCTTATAGTCCTAATATAGCTATTATATGTCATAGATACTGCACAAATCGTAGTAGCACCTTCTAAATGTTATTACAAGCAGTGGTATAATTCTGCAAGTCTAACCATAAAGGTTCTCCCTTATGTTCCTAAAATAGCTATTCTGTTTGCTGTGTTACAGTTGCTGCACTAATCTTAGCATTTTTAAAATGTGAGTTAAACTGACAGTTCAAGCAGAGGTATAAGTCTGTTTATACAGGCTGGATGTACTAGTATATGTAAAATTCGGTAGTTATGGTTGAGCAACATGTAAGCTATCGTAAGATAATGAAAGAATATCAGAACTGCTAAGATTATAGAAATCAATTCGACACATACTATAACAGTCGATGAAATGGAAAATGATTGATTTTAAGATATTGCGAAAGTTGTTGGCTTTATAGATAACTAAGTATGACAAAGTACATTAACATCTAGTGCCTGGCAATTGTAAGTAATAGTTAAGAATGAATCACAAATTGCTCATGTTCTAAAATACGCTAGTAATGCAATACAATCTCAATACACTATACTTGTTTATTAAAGTAAACCACATAATTTTCATGCATCTGTTGGAATCATACCATTCTACGAATCTTTTCTTATCTAATCATAAATGTTGCCACATCCGTCTACATGTTGCATTTATTTACCTTTAGTACTCGCTTTGCAATATATTTCACAGACCCTAAATGTAATACTAACTTAGTTGAATCAATTTTAGGGTATTTTTGTACTGATCAAAGTATTGAGAGATTTACCTACCCTGAGAAACATCATCAAACTTGTTGATGGCCTTAAAAAAACGTTATGGAACAATTGACAGTGTTGTAATTTAGATTAAGATTGTTTACTCTATTTATTAGTTAGTATCGATCAACGATTACAGACTCTCTAGTATTAGAAGATTCCATGATTACAACCTTTATGAAAGAATCGAAGAAATTGTCTGTTAAATTGAAAATTCCGAGAGACCTCCTATCTGATCATTTAACCACATCATAAAAATTAAATTATTATGATAGCCCATTAACTCATGATACGTATGTACTGTAAGTGTAAGTCAGAAATTAAGATAATGATGGAAGTAAATTAATATTTTATTATTTTATGTATTAATAGTACCGTAGTGGTTTTACTAATATTAAAAATGTTGATTAGGGAAAAGAAATCGTACAAATGTGCTGATTAATATTCCATCAAGAAATAACTTCATCGAAGAAATGTCTTCAGAATTGATTTTGATAATTACCGTATTTGACATTTCTCTATAGATGACACTCTTTTATTTTATAAGTACCAGGATGATGCACGATGCTTTACTAATTTGAAACTTCTCGTCATTTGTCAAAGATGCGTGCTCGTTTCAAGATTGCTGTGCTCTAGCTTAATTTTTATGACTGTCAATCATCGATGTTAATTATCCTTACATAGCTGCCCAAATGTTATATTAACTGGTTTTCTATCCTGGTCGATTACAACAATATCAATGGTATGAATGATATTAAATAGTGTAATAACATATAAATAATATTTCCAAATAGGAATAGACAATGTGATCCATGATATAGTAGATGCTATTGACTTCCAGTGTTAGTTCAGTTTTCATAGCAGCTATCATCAACACTTATAATCTTGCTGTTTAGACTCTGTCTGATTTTGCATAAAACTTTCATAAATTACGATTGTATGATTCAATTTCGGTGTTCAATCTTCAGGTGGATCGATATTATTACTAATTAGGGTCTTTCAGTAGAAGAATTTCTAAAAATATGTAAGATCTCGCTTACTTCACTTCACTTCAATTTGATCAGTTTGCTAGAATTTGCAAAACACCATCTTATCTCACAACAAGAATAGCCGAAGTTGTTTACGTCCTTTTCCAGTTCTTTTAACTTTCAGAACTAATAACCTGATTACCACCAAAGCAACGTCAGTTTCTTCGAACAGACAGATGGTTTCGTCCTCATTTTTGTTTAGTAAATGGCCTACCTACGCTAATTTGATTTTTAAACTATTCTGTCGCTTTAAACGCGTTTCGTGTTATCATATTTGGAAGTCAATTTTTGCCACGTTCAAAATATTGAAGTGATCAGATTTACCAACTTCTTAATATCTTTCACAAAGTATAATGTCAGTTTCACCAGAGGCGTGCTTAATCTCTATACATGCACTCATAATAGATGTTGTATCAGCTATTTCATGATTAGCAACAACGATTTGGTGAAATCATTGCAGCATTTGACTAGCAGTAATAATTCATTTTAAGCTAATAAATATTCTTTATCATTGATAATTAATGTTACAAAACACAGGTAAAGTTATTAAACAGGAACACTATAACGAATATCATGATATTATCTAGACAAACATTTTATACGTATTTACTAGTAGCTTGCAGTACTCCGAGTATGTAGCAATTCTTAAGTAATTTTTTGGTTAGTAATGTTAGTACAAAATTAATTATTACATATTGAGCAGTAAATATTGATAATTACTTATGCAGGATTAGTAACCTCTACATAATATTTAGACTGTATTAAGAAATTAGTATCTGTATTATTAACTATTCTATCAAACCATGTATTCCGGTATGATGTTAATATCATATAGATGTTGTGCAATCACATATTACACTCAATGGTTGATATAGAAATTACTAATGAAAAATTATGTTACTAAATTACTGTTGATGGTATTAAAATAGGGTATAAAAGTCGCGAAAATGTGCAAATGACTTTTAAGTTTTTGATTAACCACAGACACAATTAATAATAGGTACTGTAATCAATTTTTGTTAAAAAATATAACAATTGTAGTGAAAAATGCTTTATAATATAGTAATATGTACCAATTCTAAGTAGAACTAATAGCCAAAACAATATCATTTCGACCTATTCGTTCTAAAGCTGCCTTAAGTTGATCAACATTAACATTTGGAAAATTTCTGTCATACCAAGTATCCAAAAATTTCATAGCTCGGTCGAAAATTCTATTATCTTGTTCTTTGATAACATCAACATCAATAGATCGATCTAATCTTGCAGCTAATCTCGTCCAATCGAGACCGATTCTATTTGCAATTTGGAAGAAGTGATACTTGGAGTCTGTAGCATTACATTAACATTGTAAATAAATTACAATGAAAATAATGAAGCAAGGATATAGTTAAGTGAAACTTGTAATGATTTTAAAGTTATGATTTGTCAATACAAGAGCTTTGTTATATTTATCGATTACGAACTAGTAAATTTAGAATTGAACTGATGTACATTAAACACAAAAAATAGCCGGAAGCATGTGCAGACTGGTTGGCTAATGTTGCTACTGTTTTTGTTAAAGATGAAAATATTAAATAACTTGTACTTTCTAATTTATTTCGATAGTTAAATTCATCTTAATGAAGTTCTAACTTTGTTTTTGTCTACTTTAAGATATAAACACGGGCACATCTATATCAGCTAGACGTTTATTACATATATCTTACACTCACCTTTTCTACTTGCCATTCTTTTCTTTTTATCAGCATTTCGATCATGTGTCAATTCTGATTTACACGATCCTTTACGTTTTCCAAAGCGATTGATATCTGGTCTTTCTGCGAAATAATTATAGGACAGTTTTGTTACCTTGTCAGCTACGACAATTATTATTATTTAAAGAGATTACGCAGTTAATTTGAAGAGTAAATGCCGTAATCGATACTGTTAGAAAATAGATACTATTAACAAGATCGCGAATTCATCACTAAAGCAAGTAAATGTTATACTTATTGGAACATGGTATAATTTACTTTTATTTACTTTATTGCTAATTTACTTGACAAATACACTATTTAAATTGAGATGCATTTTAGCTTCTTCATCAAGTAATATCTAGTCTATATCTTTACCCACCGTATGTATTTGTTAATCTTTCCTTTCTAAGAAGCATCCAGTCACGTGTAGGCTTCGATTTAAAAAATTTCTCACATAAAACACAACGAATAATATCTACACTATCCGCGAAATAACTATCCACTATTTCTGTCATCTTACTACATTCATTACATCTAACATAAAATCTGCTTTGTGCTGATTTAAACTTTGGCATTCTTTCATTAATTGTCTCGTTTAGTTTATCTCTAATTATTATATGTGGTTGTATCTTACTAATCCAACTACCGATATTATTCTCAATCCTAGACGCAATTTCTTTCGGATATTTCTGATAGCAATAGAGTAAGCTAATACGAGATTCTTCTTTCTTAACAACAATCTGACATTGATAATCAGGTATGTAGTATTTAGCACATCGATAATAAACTTTTACTCTTGAGTTATTCCACACTTTTAAACAAGCCGATAAAAGGCAATAAAATATACCGTCAGGAATATACGGTATAACTTTTTCGTCGTATCCAATGTATAGCCAATCTGATACACGATAATCTGTTAGATCTAACGTACCAACAGATGAATTAAGTAGATAAGGTATAAAATATTGCTGGTGACATTCTTTGTTATCAAGACTATCATGTTGATCCTCAATTTTACAGATAATATTATAACTATCCATTAATTGTAACACGAAATCTTTCTCTTTCTTTTTCAATTCGAAATCTACTACAATATTATCAATGTACGCTTCAGATATTTTTCCAGTCTGATAAGCTTGATTATAAGATTCTCTTACATTAGCACTCTTATATTCGCGTTTATCGAGTTTAATAATCGATCGAAATATATTGAGTAGCCAATCGAGATTAGTTACAATCATTTCTTCTACGCCTTTTTTACGACAATATACAATATCGCCTATATCATGTAAGTATAATAACATACTACGCAATTTCTCATCGTTTTCATATAACTCGCAATCTATAGCTAACTGCTTTACTTCTTCCAATGTCATAATATTATGAATTCTATTAATAATACGATTAAACTGTGTTGTTGATGCGGCTTGTCTGCTTATGTCATTAACTGATGTATGCAATATAGATGCCATAATATACCATCGAATCGGAATCGATTTTTTCATAAAAGGTAAACTAGACACGATTCGCTTTATTAATTCATGTAACTGTAACGTAGTCTGTCGACGTTGCTCGATAGCCGCTGAAGATTTATCATCGGGATCGCAATGAAATATGATGTCTGAAAAGCATATATTAGATTTATAGATAGGCATTGTTGCAATAATAGAATTCTCAAACGTCTTAAATCTACGTTGACGCTCTTGACAATCTTGTATTCGATCGCCATGAGATGCTACTAAGATGACAACTGGTAAAGAATATTGTTGCAATTTACCATCAATTTCTACTTGGACAGTCTCATCGCCATCATGGCTACCAATAATCGATGTAAGCCATTCTTGCATAGCATATCGATAAGTCATATTAGTTGGGTTTCCTTCTCTATCAATAACAAAGTCATCGAAATCACGAGTAATATTAAAAACTAAAATATAGATACTATTTCCAGATAGAAATGGACGATGCGTAACATGATAGACAGCTTGACCTCCGAAATCGACTAATTTACCATATTGATTATCGTCATCTACTATTTCGCCTTTCATATCGATTATAGATCGCATAAAATCTTCGTACATTAAGATTTTGTGGATTTTTTGTGTTATTGAGACAGTAGATACAAGAGTATCGATAGCCATAGGTCGATTATCGCTAATTACCGACTTTATTTTATCAGTGCTAATAAATGTGTCTGTTTCTATCGTCTGTATTTGACGATCTACTTTACTAACTTGGATATCTGGGTTGATATTAGGTACAATATTCAGTTTTGTCTTGAATTTTTGTATAGCTGCTAACACTTTCCTATACAATACTATCTGAAAGTGATAAATCTTCTTGTCTAAGATATTGTATACAATAAGATTAACATATCTTCCGGTGTCGTCGATAATCTCAGTTTGGCTTACGCTAATAATTATTCCTTGATTTGTAAATACGTTCATAATAGTCGTTTTACCCACACTTTCAGGACCGGCAAAGATAATTTTAGTAAAATCATTACGACATTGTCCATCTTGCAGCGCTTCATTATAAGCTTTAATGTATTCTTTATCATTGATAGCTAAATTAATATTAATTGATCAAATTATTAACCACGATAGAAATATTTCCCAAAGTATAGTATTATTATGACCTATAAACCGTAAATAGTAATAAAAGTAGAGAGAGAGAGTGTAGTTAAAATTTCCTCACCTTCAGTATATGTGGAATTTTCACTTTTCAAATCCGTGTTTTCAATCTTGAGACTACCATCTATTTAATAATTAATTAGTGAATGTAAATAAAATCTTGCGACTCACATCATTCAATAAATTAATTAATGCAGCATTTACCCTGTAAAATTTTCATCACATAACTCGATAATAATGGATTCGATTGGGCTTTCAGTAAGATATCGTTAAGATTCTTTGTTATTTTGTATAGTTTTAGATTAAAGAGGCTGGTTATTAATATTACCAAGTGGTTTTGGGATAGATTTTTCTTAAGCCAAAAATGCAGTATTTTGATGGCTAAAACCGAACTAGGACTTGGATGATGACATTGCTCGATATATTGGATATCATCATTAGAAATGCCTAAATCGATTGATAAGTTTATCCACTTGTCTCCAATTTCGTTCGCAATAGTCGAATAACATTTCTCTATAGTGGAAGTTACAACATAATCCAAAATGGGTATTACGGTAATGTTAAATAGTATATGTGATATAAATATATTTATTTACGGATTGAGTTTGTGTAGATCAGTAGTCGATTACTACATATTATGAATGCTATTAATTTTCACAAATGTTTACTGTTAATTATTATCATTAGACTTTGGTATTAATTTACAGTATTATAAATGTTACTGATAATGCCTTTCGATCAATTTTACTATTAATTACTAACCGTTAAAAATTTCTATTGCCTCTTTTTCTTTGTTGATATCCACATTAGTCGAGTTATCTCCAGCTTTCTTGTCATTTTGTTCAAATTCTACTGTAATACATATTTGAAATTTTAAGCAAATTACTCCAACATATATATATTTCAGACTATGAAATACGAACATATGCATGGTTGTTTTACTTGTGTATCATTTCGAACATATAAATGATAGCTGACGACTTGAAAATAGTAATATTGCTGTTATATCATTACTATAACTCACTACTATACATTTATCAAGATGGTATTGACTTGAATTTTATTTCAAGATCATCCATTTTTACTGGCAAGAATTATTTTAAGTCTTATATTTTGGTATGAATGATTTAATAAACAGAGCTACATCATTATATTTTACAACGTTACATCGATATTCAATATATTGTATAGACTACCATAACCTTGATTATTACTTTGCCTCGAGTGCTGTCCTTGGTATTTCAAATCTAGAGATAAAGATAAAGTATTATATCATAGTTCGAGCAACATATTAGAATAGTCTGACAGTTCTATTTCCAGACAAGATTTCTACTGATATTGTGCTACATTAACGTTCATTTTTTTGAATAACAAGTATTGTTAGCCAACTAGCTGGTAATATTTGATGTAAGTTATTTTCTGTGTCGGGTATGGTCTAAATTACTTGGATTTGTTTCGTTTAAGTGATATGGTGTATAACTTAATAATAAAAAATACATTGGAGAAGAAAATTGTATTATAGATATTTTCCTAGTCTTTGCCCATGCTATTCTTATCTTGAATAATAATTATTTAAAACATGAACAGTTACAGTTACAGATGGAATCATACTGACTCATTTTGTGTAAATGTCGATTTCTGCAACGTGATATTGCTTTAGTGTTTGTAGTATTGGAATGAAATCTCTTTATTATATTGAGTAAAGGGTGGAGTTCTAACAAAATTATTTCTTCTGTATGCAACAGTCTAAAAATAGTAGAATTTATTGCAATGTAATGATATTATGATACAAAAAATTGTATGGCTACTTGGAGTTAAACATAACGTTCATTGGCGAAAATATTCCACTAACTTATGTGTGTTGGATTTATTGCTGGTTAAATGAGCTATTTTAATTTATTAGTTGATCAGTAATATTGATGTCTAGTTACAAAAGAATAATTAGAAGATACAAGTTCTAATTTTAAATTACCAATAAGAAAATGAACGTACATTATTTGTACTAGACGAAGTTTTATTGGAAATATTTTCCCCCTTTATACTATTGACTTATAGGTCAGAAAGAAATCTACAGTATGCAAGAACACAAACCAATTTGCAATATTAAAATTGTTTGGCTCGTAAATTGTTGATGTAGGGCGGCATTAACTTGTTGTATGGAAATATTACAAAGTATGTAGCATAATTCCTAATTGTATTATGAAAAGTATAACAGGAATTGTTCTGTATAAAAATTGAATAAATGAATGATAGTTCTCTTGTTAACCCAAATATTATACTTGCCTGGATTAATCTATTTAAAAAAATTGATTTCTTGTGTTGTACTCATGAGTCGCTAATTTAGCATGAGATTATTTGTGACCTATTCTAATAACTATAGTAACGGCTGCTGACAGAAGGCAAGTATATGAACGTAGCCTCTTAATTAGTTGGAATTATCGATTCTACTTATTGCTTAATCATTTGTCGTATTTCTATTTACTTCCGTATAGGTAGCTTTGGTCCAAGACCATATCGCGTTTTGATAAACTGATTTCAATACTTTTATAATGCTGCAACAATCAGTAATAAAATATTTCTATCGTTACTCTGTTTTTACTATTAATTAGCCAATCGATTTAATGTGATATAAATAAAGCATTAAGTTTTATCGACTTGTCTACTCGAAGAAACTATGCTTAAAAATTATACTAGTACTTTAAATAAAATTATTGAAATGGATTGATTATTCGTTTAATTTTGATGCATTAACAAGATTGAGCAAATAAGTTGGCTAGAACGATTATTCTACTAGTGAATTGAATTTTAATGATGCGTAAACTTACTATGGCGCTGTGTGTTATCTTTTATTCCCGTTTGACTTTCTTGGCTATTTTCTTTATCTGGTGAAAATAGAAGGTGAATATGTATTAAATAGATGATAAATGGCTAGATTAGAGCTTAAAATCTAGTAATCACCTGGTGATGTTGTGGAATCATGAACTACTGTTTGATTGACTACATGTTCTTGTAAGGGCTGATGAATAACTTTGGCTGTTTCTGATGTAACAGTTCCTTTCTCATTTTCGTGTAGTTGATTATTACATTCAGCAATTTGTTTGGCAACATGGAGGATTTGAGGGTGATTTTCTTCATAGACGTTGTGTAGGGAATCGATGGACTTTCGATAGAGTGAAATTGCTTGATGATAATTAGACTGTCGATGATCAACTTGAGCTAGTTTTTCATAGCATTTGGCTGTATGAAGATGATTCTCACCTAGTGTTGCCAAAAGGACTTGCAATGACTTGCTATACATAAATCGAGCATCATCGTATTTGCTTTGTTCAATATAGAGACTTCCAATGTTGATATATATTAAAGCAGTAGTTGGGTGATTGTTACCAAATTTTGTTAGATAAATCTTTAGTGATTTTTTTAACATTGATAGAGCATCTGTATGCTTATGTTGACTCTCATAGATTGCTGCAATGTTGTTATATGTTACTGCAATATTTGGATGATTGTCATTAGATTGCGTTAATTGAATCTTCAGTGATTTGTTATATAGTAATAGAGCATCTTCAGACTTTCCTTGGCGATAATAAGCAGTGGCAATGTTGGCATATGTTGAAGCAATGCTTGGATGATTGTCGCCAAGTCGTGCTAATTCAATCTTGAGTGTTTTGTTATACATTAATAGAGCATCATTATATTTGCCTTGGTATTGATAGACAGTTCCAATGCTGCCATACGTATTAGCAAGATCGGGACGATTACTATCATGTTGTGCTAGTTGAATCTTGAGTGATTTGTTCAGCATTGATAGAGCATCATTATACTTGCCTTGACCACTATAAATATCTCCAATTCTTTTATATGTAAAAGCAATACGAGGATGATTGCCACCAAGTTGTGATAATTGAATCTTGAGGGATTTGTTCAACATTGATAGAGCATCATCGTATTTGCTTTGCTTAGCATAGACACTTGCGATATTGCTACATGATATAGCAATGTCGGGATGATCATCACCAAGTTGTGCTAGTTTAATCTTGAGTGATTTGTTAAACATTAATAAAGCGTCATTATGCTTGCCTTGTTTATAATAGATACTTGCAATATTGGAATAGATTGCAGCATTTGAATGATTGCCATTAGGGTGTGCTACTGCAATCTGTAGTGATTTGTCGAACATTAAAAGAGCATCATCGAATTTGCCTTGCTGATAGTAGACACTTCCAATATTGCAATAGGTATTAGCAATTTCTGGATGATTGTCATCGCCTTGCATTAATTTAATCTTCAATGATTTCTTGTACATTGACAGGGCATCATTATGTTTGCCTTGATGCAGATAAACAACTCCAATGCTATTATACCTATTAGCAACATCAGGATGATTTTCACCAAGTTGTTCTATTTTAATCTTCAGCGATGCGTAATACATTGATAGAGCGTTATTATACTTGCCTTGATGACTGTAAGTATCGCCAAAGTTGCGGTATGTTAGAGCAAGACTTGGATGATTGTCACCAAGATGTACTAGTTGAATCTTTAGAGATTTATTAAGCATTGATAAAGCCTCATCGTGCTTGCTTTGAAGATTATAGGTTCTTGCAATGCTATCGTATGTTTGAGCAATATTTAGATGATCGTCACCAAATATTACTAATTGCATCTTTAACGATTTGTTAAACATTGATAGAGCCTCATCATGCTTTCTTTGATCATTATAGACATCTCCAATTGCACGATAGGACTTACTTATAATGCTATGTTCATTTCCGAAGCATTTTAGTCTCATTTTAAGTGCTTTATTAATATCAATCAAAGCTCCACTGTAATCGCCTTGTATCCGTTTAATAAGCCCCTGATTATTTAAACATGTTGAAATTTTCACTTCATCTTGTAGTTGCTTAGCTAATTCCTCTGCTTTTCTGTTCCATTTATCGGCTTTTACCAATTCATGTTGATGTAAATAACAATAAGTTATGTTGAGATAAATACTACATTCAAGTTGCTGATAATCATTATCACTACTCTTGGATATCCATTGAATTTTAGTTACAGCTTCTATGAAATAGGATAGCGCTTGTTCATAGTTTTCTTCATCTCGAGATTTCTCACCATTTTGATTCATGGATTTGATTTCGTCGAGGACAGTTGAATTAGTAGATAAACTAGTCATACTTCAGTCTATAGCAAGATTAAAAGCGTATAGCTTGATGAAATAGACAGCGATGCACTACTGAAGAGATTATACTTTTGATAGCTGCTCAAATGATAGAGTTCACATGCATTGCATCGCATGCAGGTTTAAAAGAAAATAACATAACGTACTGTAATAAGAGAATAGGAATGAATGTTTTCTTTCACGATGGTCTCATTTGAACTACAAATAATGTTTAAATTTGTTATTATCCAAGTGGGGAATAATTATAACATTATTGGCGATTATGCATTCATCATATCATCAAGAATTACCAAGAATAATTAACGTTGTTGAAGAAATATTGTATATTCTCTGTTGTGCAGTAATCATTATCGGGGAAAATTGGTGCAAGACTATAGAAACGAGAGCGGCATAATTAAGTCAGATCGCTAAAATAAAGTAGAAAAAGTAGAAAGTGTGTAACGTTATACGGTTATTGAAAACAAGATAGGAATTATTCGATAGAGTAAGATTGCTTGGTGATAATTAGACTGTCGGCGATAGACTGCGGCTAGTTTTTGATGACATTGCTTAATATAAGGATGATTCTCACCTAATATTGCTAAATAAACTTGCAATGCCTAGTATTAGATGGAAAGAGGATCATTGAATTTTCTGTGTCTGTAACAAGTTAATCCACTATTGACATACGTTCCAGCAATATTTGGATGATTGTTGCCAAATGCTGCTTGATAAATCTTGAATGATTTGTTATACATTGATACAGTAGAGTGTCTTTACACTTGCCTTTTTTTCTGATAGATAGTTGCAATATTGTTGTATATTATAGCAATAATTGGATGGTTGTCACCAAGTTGCACTATTTCTAGCTGTAATGATTTGTTATGCATTGATAGATCGTCATCACTTATGTAGCAATTTATTCTATCTTTAAACGTTCAATTCTTCTTTTTGATATCATTCATCACTCCTTGTCTTATACCGAACATCAAATCCATCGGTTGCTTGAACATAAAGTACTTCTTAGAAATTCTGTAAAATGATGTAACATGTGCAGGCAAATTTGTTCAATACCAGCACATTATCATTGCTATAGAAGCAAGTCTAACAAGAGCAAAAGAGACAAACACAAATTCATAATTATAAATAGATTATCTTATGTATGTTTTATTAACTAATTTGTTAATACACGGGCTTCTGTAAAACAGGTACACATTTAAAATTTTTATATTTAGCAACAAAATTTACTTCGTTATCAAGTCAAGGCCAAACTCTTTATCATAGAGACATATGTAAACAATTGGTCGAGCTATCATAGAATAGATGTATTATTATATTTATACTCAATACGTACTATGTAATAAAGAAAGTATGAATATTAGCCTGTTTACTTTTAAGCGTGGACAACCGTGCATAATCATTTTAAGAAATGAGCTTAACAACAGCAGGATGATAGCTTTCCATTCTGACTTGGGAAGTATTGGATAAAATAGACTAAGCTGAAAACATGGAATATAAATGATACAATATGAATGAACACTTTGTTGAAGACCATCGTAGATATTGATACAGTAGTTAATATCATTACAGACACAAGGTTAATGATAAGGCATTGCTAATTAATTTATATAAAATTAAAAAGTTGACATTTATCAGAACTTTCCCTGACCGCTCAAGGTATTTCGCAGCAGTATTCGAAATAGAACCATAATGACTGCTATGAGCGTAAATAATGATACAATACTGCTAGTATTATATTTACAGCATGATATGGTAGCAGACACAAAAAAATAGAGTGTTACTATAGCGTACTCAATGTCTATTCTGGTCAATAATTGTGCTGACGATAAGTTTACAAATCGGTAAGCGGAGATTGCATGGAATACACAAAGACGTAATAGCATCTGCAGTCTCTTCCCGTACTGTCTATGCAATCGATTACAGAACCAGCTAATTCTTTATATATAATTTTAAAACCAAAATAGTATCTTTTTTCCTATGACTTGCTACATCATTCCGTGCTGGGGTACAGTATTATATCACTCGATGATAATTTAGTAAAGATACACCGATAGCTAGCTATCTCGAATGTAGAATTTGATGCCGGAATACAATAAACAATTTTATGTACAATACAATTATTATTATTGTTATGAGTTGTAAGCTGCTGCTACATAATCTTACTGTAATAAATGATATCTACAGCATCAACTGTTGAAGACGACAATCAGAACATTTATTCTGATGTGAGAAATTTAAGTTATCGTTATCTATTTACATTTTTAATGTATAATGTTATCATGATGGGTTTTAAGGACGCGTTTCATGTCTTCTTGTATGCAAAGCCAAGTGATCTGATCTTGAAAAGCGTCTATCGCAACTTAAGCATTTATACGGCTTTTCCCCTGGTAAACAAAAGTATTATTTACTTATTAATATTACAATACAGTAATGACATCCTATACGGCATAAAAAATGCAAATATCTCCAAAATGTAATTGTATTAAAGGTGAAATTTTTTACCTGTATGCCGTCTACGATGTCGTGTCAGTTCATCAGATCGGGCAAATCGCCATTCACATCCCTCCCATTTACATACATATGGTTTTTCGCCAGTATGAGTTCTTCGATGAGCTTTTAGATGGGAACTTTTCGTATAGGCTTTAGCACAGCCTTTAAAATCACATATATGAACTCGTGGTTTCCTCGACGGTTCGATAATTCTGTAATCATAGTTATATCATCATTTAATTGCACACATTAGCAGTCAAAGGTTGTCATCAATTATAAACTATTTATTGACATTACTTTGATCGTGATTTGACATTAGATTTACTGGGTTTGGAATCACTTTTAGCACTAATGATTAAAGAAACAAGTAAATAGTTTAGCAATATGCATATACAAGCAAACAGATTGATCAAGAGTAAGATAGATACGATTAATGGCACAGATTAAATATAAAATCTTTCAAAATATTTGCTAGTACTTTACCCTGTAGGCCTAGCTAGACTAGCCAAGTTCATACCAGTATTATCTATCGGAAAGCTTACGTTCGCGGGCATTGCTTTAATGGAATTTACATCTAAGTTGGCTAGATCGCTCTATATTAATTTAAAGGTGAAAAAAAAAACAAGTTTCCATGACGATTGATAAAGATATTTAGTAAGCATACACTAGAATAATGGCGTCTTTGCAATGTTGTTAAATAACGATGCAATATACGCATTTGTTGTATCAACGGCTTACATTTTGGCCTTCCAAATGTCTAACGGTAAAACTATTTTCATGCTGCTGGATGACGGTAGCGTTTATTTCCCCTTTAACATTGGTTTTAATTTCTTTTTTAACTTTATTGGGAGTTGTGATTGAGTTATGTAACAAACTCATTCTTACTCTTTCGCTTGGATTACTAATTGCAGCAGAGATGTTTTCTTCGCCTTTAATACCTACTAACTGTAAAAACAATGATATTACATTAAAAACAACTAAGCTAGGGTTTTAGATCGACTCGTGGTTAGAGCCCGATTCAGATTCTGATTCTTACGATTGAAAACTGGATTAATTATGCGTGTTTACCAAAATTGCCTGTAACTATAGGTAATATCTTGCTAAGGCATCATTAAATGTAATTTGAATCTTAACAATTTTTACATTATCAATATGTTGTGGCTGATGCGAGAGGTTTATTGTAAGCAGATTCTAATAACGACAAAGAGTTTCCGATTCTTCCATTAAAGGATACTTGGCTGTGTCAATTAATGCTACTACTATAAAATGAATAAACTGCAGCATAGGTAAATTCTTGCCGTGACAGGATTTAACGAGAGTAAATTTTTAATTTTTCACTTTAACGACCGAATGCAAAGTACAGCTTATGCGACGGTTGAACAGTCTAATTTTAAGCCGATTCAATTAACTAAGTCTCTCAATTTCTACTAAAGGATACAAACAAAGAAACTACATTATCTACACTTTCTACAAGTTGAAACTTAGGGAAGTTATCGAAAATCAACATTCTTGCCAATTCACTATTAACTGCTGCAAATCTTTAAATTTTTGTAACAAATATTCACAATAACGGTTATGACTATGAATGAAGAGATTTAATATACGAGTATACTGATAGAATTTACCTGCTTAGAATTATTTTTTCCTCTATAAGTGAAAATAAACAAATAGAAAGTAAGACTTTAACAATTCATTAATAGCATCATTAAATAGGCCATATTGCACAGTCATATCATTTTCAATATTTTTAAAGAAAAAGCGACACCTTACGTCCATCTCATTCTAAAATCTTGAATATTACAACATTTAAGCTCAATGGTGACGCTACTAATCATCAGAAATTATCCTTATAGTATTTTTGCCATTCTCTACTTGCACGTGGATGGAACTGCGATGAAGAATATGGGGCACGAGATCATTTGGTGACAAGACTATCAACAGATTCATTAACTAGTCACTGTCTAGGATAGCAGTATGTATTGCTAGATCGATTATCCAATCTGGCTAAACAAAGGTGATAAAACTTTAACAACCGACATTGAAAAGGAATGTATTTGTTGGCAAAGGGGCTTACAACAAAATTGGTGTAACCAATAATAAAACCCCAGGTTGAATTCTTGATATCATCTAATCACATAATGAAAAATACAACAGCTACTTTGATTAATCTTATCTTGTCAGAGAACATTTGCTGAATGTTACTGTTCATCAAGGGCCATTCAAGTACTTTTAAGGCTGGGCATTCTATTATTTTAGCATTTACTGTAATACTAGATAAAGGGAGCAGGTATAATTTGAGACAAGTTAATCAGACAGCGTTATCAATTCTATGAGTTGCATTTTTATGAACAATTTAATTACGCTTAAAATTAGTAGTATAGTGTAGACAGGTACTATCCGATATACAGTAGTTTAGAAACGCAATAGCATTAACATCAACTGTAAGAAAGATAGTTATCGATACTCGTGGCAGCTAGTCATCATAGCAGACCCATTTTATTTCGAGTAATGTATGCAATGGCTATTCAATTCTATGAAGGTAGTTAATATTTGCTAATCGAATTCATTACACAATACATGATTGAACGGAAATTTCCAAATTCAATAATCCAATGTTGATATGATTTACAAGTTCATATTGATGCTACTGTGTAGCAAGGGTGTCGATGACTAACAATAACGGTCGGAATGACTGAAAGCTTGCAAAATCAGCAAGTCGAAAAAGAAACGCTTACAAGAGATAGTAGGTAATCAATCTGATATCATGAAGCGAGATATTGATTGTATTCTTACGAGCCACACTTGTCATCAAGCTCATTGCAATATTACGGAATAAGGCATTATAAAACGGATGAAAGGAAAATATTGGGGAGTATCTTGTTCTATCCTTAGATTCAAATATAATTCTATTGACAACTATTCCCAACAGTTTGGAATTGATGTAAGATCCCTTTTAACTATGCCTAGCATCAATTTGATAATTGCTTATCAGGCAATTTTCAAAGGCAGGCCATCTACTGATGATTATAATTAATCATGTTTAGAATGGATTAGGAGAGCAGTAAAAGGTGGATGATATTTTCAACCCTATCGATTCTTTTACCCCTATGTTTTCAACTAATCATTCACTTTATGAAGGGAAAGAACATAGACAAGTACGCGTTGAAAGATTCAAGTAGCAACGATTTTATAGTCATTATAATGCTTTCATTTCGATTTATAACATTCAGTAATTACATGGCGTAACCCAATTCTGGTCATGTCTAAAACATACTAGAAATATGCTCCAATTGATATCTTTGGAGAGAAAGTCTTTATCATATAGTTATAGGGTGAGAAACAATGTAGGATGGTTAATTCAATAATATCAGAAAAATGGTGAAGGGAGTAGATGCAAAGTATTCCAATTTCTACACAACTCTATCCTACCTGTCATGATGACTTGTAGAATTGTTGGCATCATGTTGATTTCCTAACAATCACAAGGTAATACAAGATTAGCAGTTCAAATTAAATGAAGGGGTGAAAAATTTGAAACCAGTTGATTCATGATCGGTTGAGGGAAATGATTGCTTTTAATGGAATTCTACATAGGGCGTAATCCATTTGTACTAGTTACCATATTATTATAATAGTGAAATAAACGATGTAAATCAGTTTCAATGTAACTATTGATCCAATTTCAATTCAACGATGGAAATGGCGCCACAACTCAAATGTGGGTCGGTTCACCATGTTGAAAGAATTGGACGATTTGAAAATTTGGGTTTAAAAGTAAGGTAAGGTAAAATTCAATGAACTCGTAGGCCATCATAATAGTCCATAATGGGTATCATTACTAGCAATGATTGGAAACGATTCCACAGCAGGCTGTACAGTGTACATTAACTCGCATCAAGACTTTGGGATTAATAGAATGATAGGCAATATTCTCGCGTCAAGACGTTGGATAGACAGAGTGATTGGCTGCAGCTGATGATTTCATTCTGAAAATAATTTTGGTTGATCATCATCATCCTTGTCTAGAAGTGGGATTTGAGATCAGAATAAAGCAGGAAATGAATTCAAATTATTCCATATCCAAATCCAGTGCAAGATTAGCGATGGGTCAAGTGAAAAGGATGATGTTGATTTTTGCAGCAGCACACCTCTACGATAGCGGACCTACCATTCATTTCCATTTCTATCAGCATGCATCATCCATGCAATAGCGATCATCGAGGGGCAAATGAACAAAGATTAACTCCATGCAATAGAGCTACAGTAGAATTATTCTATCCATCATTGAGTTTGTATCTTGTATGCTACTGTCATGGTAAAAATAGACAGGAGGAGAGGAAAGAGAGAGTGGAGAAAAGCATGATGCGATTGGCTTGCAAATAGGGTAGAAATGCAATTGGCTGATGAAATGTTTACACTATGTTGGATTCAAGGAGGATGGACTGGATCTTGATGAATCCGTGACATTGCACCATGGATTCAATTAGGGTTTGGTAATGCACACGAGCCGATCTAGTTTACCTCTGCCTCTCTTTTTGCTGTCAATATTGGCTTTTCCTTCTTGCTGGCTCATCATCGACGCCATCTTAAGGACTTTCTAACGGCCACACCTGTATACAAGACCGTCATGCTTTGCGCTACGGCACACCTTCCACAGTGGTTGCCATAGCGACCAACGTCTGGAGTAGACGCTGTAGGCTCATTGGGTGAAAAATGCGCCACAAGTAGGACTGCAATTATTCAAATGAGTATTTAAAACAAGTTGTTTGTTGTTAATTCGTTGTTTGTGAAGCTGTTGATAGAATGGGCTAGTTAGTGATCATGTCGGCAAGGACTGTTGATGTTGGATGACAACAGTCTTGCCGGCGTTGCAATATCCCACTGGTGTATCATGGACTAGGACAAGCAAAGGAAAAACCTTCCACCTTTTGGTTGTCTATGGCTGTACCTAGCCACCAGCGCTCGAGTTTTGCGTTGGGTGAGCTTTCTTAGCAATTCATCGGAGGCTCTTAATGACTGTATAATGAACCGTTGCATGACCCATTAATCAGCGTGTTGTAACTTACTCATGCGATGCAAATAGATGAATATCATCCAGTTCATGCTGCCATTAGATCATGAAATACACTACAGTACGGGATGCCTTTCTCTGCTCGCGTCCTTCAGTACAAAATCATGTCGAGACCTATCCCATTTTGGGTCATTCTGCTATACGGTTTCGACGAAACCGTCGACCATACTGCACAAAACCAACCTGGTATCGACAGCAATGCGCATGTTTCTCATGGATAGTATAGTGGGCCATGACAGACATGGGATACAGTTGAAATGACCACAAAACAATCGATTACTTACCTGTTTCAGTAGAGTATATGGCGCTTTCCGTCCTTCCTTCCTTTCCTACAGTACCACAGTGTACAGTACAGTACAATACTGTTGCTGCGTGCAGTACAGTACTCTAGTGGACAGGAATGTTGACTGGTGTGAATCCACTTATTCTCATCTGCTTCATACTATTACATACACGTGATACAGCTGAAATGACCATTAAAAATAGTAACCGATTACCTACAGTATTTTAGTACGGCAACTGACGCTTTCCGTCCTTCCTTCCTTTCCTACAGTACCTAATACACATAGCATTGTATTGTACACTGTACACTGTACAGTCCATAGTCTACTCTGGCAGCGTACAGTACTCCGCTGGACTGGTGTCAATCCACTTCTTCTCATCTGCGCCATACTGTACTGTATTAAAGACCAGTGAAGGCTACTACGACCAGTATCGATCGCGAAAAGCTGACGTCATTCTTTCCATCCATCCATCATTCTGTGCGGACGCCGACTGGACCAACTTGGTCCAGTTGAGCGTGGAGCGGAAACGTTCCAGTCTAGTCCTCCAAGCAGTGGACTGTTTTCGAAACTAGGGGCAGATTCATCCAAATCGCAATCCAAAAAAGGCCAAGGCAAGGAGTCCCAATAGCGTGGCAATCAATCATGTCAGCAGTCAATACTCGAGTTTATCTAGAGAATAAGAAACGGTAAGAATGATCCGATCAAAAGATTAATACAACGTCCGTAGAATGATTTGTTGTCGTTGATGGTTGGGCAGGACTGCCTCCTTGGCTATGCCAAGGAAATACTATAATTCCATTATTTGTGTAGTATAGTAAGACCAGTTCGCCAATGCTATTGGTAGTGCTTGAGTTTTAGAATTCCCGGAATAGAATTAGCTCAAACTACTACACTCTTCTACGCGTATACAAGAGTGAAATAATCTGTAAAGTCTTGCTAACGCTTGCCAATGGATTCATTTTTAGGCAAGCACAAGCTGCTACCGTACGATGCCAAAAGTGTTTGCAATTTGGGCATTGGACTTATGAGTGTCAAAATCAAAGAAAATACTTATCAAGACGATCCAGAACTTCCGAGTTAAACAAGATGGTCAGGGAACAAGAAAAGAAACCTGATTATAGGTAGCAAAGTAGAGTAATGTAGACTGAATATCATATTGGAAATAGCATACAGTATTAGCCTAGGCAAGCCAGACAGCCGATAGCGATACTAAATTGATCCGTTCAAAATACAATCTCTACAGTGCAAGTTCACATGTGGCCACAGTATTGTACATCAGTTATACACGAAATGAGACAATTTTATCATTGAGCAGATTATAGAAATCCCAGGATGGTCCACTGCGCTAGTTCAAGTTTTAGTTGCAGTCTTAGCTTGAAAGCCCTTAGTACAACTACAAAGGCAGAATAAACTAATGGATTAGGATTTGTACATATTTCATTATGAATACGTAGGATGATTTTCTGTATATTTCGCAATATGCAAGACCGTATGATCTGTATGGCAGTCCGCGTTAGTACTCAAATTGAATATACTAATTATGGAGAACAAATTATTATACTCGTTTAATGGAGTCTTATGATTAAGATTATAACCTCTATTACTAACCAAACTGACCATGGTCTTTATTACTATTATGCTGTATGTTGTACATACAGCATAATAGTAAATTTTTTCAAATTGAACTGTTACTTGTTCGTATGCACACTTTTACAATAACTTTATTATTTGCTTTACGCCGGTATTTACGTATACAATTTTGGAATGGTCTTGTTAATAACTATTGCCATTCATTTCTTTTTATTATAGTTCTGACAGTGATAGCAGTAGCTCTTCGGATTCGGATAGCAGCACTTCAAGCAGCGACAGCAGCTCTACTAGTTCGAGTAGCGATAGCAGCACTAGCAGCAGTAGCAGTAGCAGTAGCAGTAGCAGTAGCAGCAGTAGCAGCAGTAGCAGTAGTAGCAGTAGCAGCAGTAGCAGCTCCAGCAGTTCTGATAGCAGTAGCTCATCGGATGATTCATATCGACGGAGGAAAAAGATACGACACCACTGATATGGCAATGCTTATTGACCGTTGCATTCTGATCTTGGGTAATCATTTCTGGTGTGGCAGGGTTTAATCAATTATATAACAAATTGGGGAAAGGTAGAAATGGATCGGAAATTTCATTGTAAAATATAAATGGTTTATAGCTTAAGCTATAGACAAATGTCTGAATGCTATTTCTAACCGTGAGATTGATAGCATTACTAAAGAAATGCTGTACAGTATACTGGATGTGTAACTATTAATTACAGCTATTATCGTAGTAATACGTATAATGTATAGCACTTTTCTAATATCTGTAATTTTAATATCATACATCATAGATTTAAATACGGCCAGGTAACTTTGTTGACTACTTCTAAACTATTGTACTTATTCGTATGCCCATTATATCCCAGCGTGGATGTTCTAGTCGACATGTAACGTGATTTCCATTTTAACATGACTTACCGTACCTTGTAGCTAACTATGCTGTGTTATGGCCATGTTATTGGTGCGTTTTGTCCAATGTAGCACATTAATTGGCTCTAATTGACCAGGCTGAGATAGATATTTCTGTTGTAACATAAATACTGAAGCAGCCGTTCTTTAGTGTAGAATGGACTTCCATACTCGTCTAATTTTATAAGTAATGAAGGCTATTCCATTTTTTGCAGCGGTGCTGTAATGCTTTACTAATATTAACCTCACTTTTAATAAAAAGTATGTATCTTTCAGAAAGACCATTTTTGTTTACTTTTATGGATTGAAGATCGACAACGCACATATTATAACTACAGTACATGCATTATTAGCATAGTGTATGTCAAACTTTAGAAAATACAGCACGTGTATTGGTCATGTGCTGATGCTAGCATAATCTCTCCTTGAAAGTGGGGATAAATATAACGCCATAGGATAGTTATTTGGATATAGTGCTTTACTGTCATTTAGCTATGCAAATTAACAAGGCATGTTTCCAGTAGATGATTCGGTTTTGTAGTCGATGTCTTCAATGGCAACTACTGCAACCGACTTCTATCATCTATAATGAGTCAATGTAGGCCAAATCAAGTTTGCAATTATACTGCCATTTAGCTATGCCAATTAATAAGGCGTGTTTCCAGTAGATGATTTGGTTTTGTAGTCGATGTCTTCAATGCCAACTGCTGCAACCGACTTTTATAATCTATAATGAGTCAATGTAGGCCAAATCAAGTTTGCAAATAATTGGATGCAATTTACACGGTTAGCTTATGAGACAGGCAGACGGGCAGACATGATTGCATTGCCTTCATTAACTGTACCTTTATGGCAAGACAGTGTAGTCTTGACTACCTACAGCAACCGTATGTGCAAAGGCCAAAATTGGCATAAGTGAACAGCTAGCAAAGTGGTAGGAAAGCTCCGCCAAGATGCGACTTCATGGAACGGTTGTAGCAGTGGGAGTTGTTGGCTTAATTGCTGTCGCTTTATACCCTATAGCGATTGATCCAAAATTGCACCCTGAGAAATATCGTAAGAAAATTCTTCTTAACATTAGCAGCTAATGATTTCGTAAAGTGTAAATAGGTGTAGTACAACAGGGAAGCATACAATTATGCAGTATATGTACAGTAATGTACATCACGAATGCCTCAGACGTGGATGAAGAGCAAACTGCATCAGTATTTTACAAAACGATTTCTTCATACATTCAATTAATTATAGAAAAAGAGGCAATTTCGAAAAGGATACTGTACAACTTATTGGATAGTCGGATTAAAGTTGAATGACTGACTGTAGAAAGTGTTGTAGACTAGCATGTTAGCATTACTATCATTTTTATTACTGTAAACGTACGAATGCGATGCAAGGGTAGTAGCTATTTCTGCTAAATACGATGTACATGATACTTTACATTCGCCTCGACGATGCTGTAGCAATATAATCAGCAGCACCTAACACGGGCTGATTTTAGTCGGTAGAACCTGCCTCTATCCGCAGTGGCGACACGAATACTACTTGTATCGAATAGCTTGTAAGCTCTACCTTTGCTTTTGTCGGCGACTAGAGGTACTTCAAGTTGCATAGCGGAATACAAAATTTCCAGAGATACTACAGTATGCCATATTTCATTCTTACATCATGTCATCAATAAAGATGAATACATACATATTAAGCAATACTGCTTTTTATTGCTAAGGCTGAAATAAGAACGCAATCTGCTACTAAATTTCAATCGTATTTGCCATTATTGGAGAGCTTGGTTGCTCGATACCAACTCTCCCTTAAACCAAGAAAACAGATGTAGTCGCGTAGCTTAGTTATAATATCCGTATTAGGCTGGATTCTATGATATGCAAGGGACAATTGATAGTAGCTTTTAGTCAATCTGTTATTTATCAATTATTAAGGGTAGATTAGAAGGAAAGTCTAAAAACAGTCATGATCGATACACCGCATCATAAGTGTATACGTTTGAATGTAAATAGGATACGAAAATTGCATACGTACTTGCTTGCGGGCGCTATTTGTCTTTTCGATTGCTGGCTAGTTCTTATTATTTATTTGTCGTTGTAAAATAAGCCACGATTACAAATAAATTCTATTCCTATTGGACTGCCAGTTTCAGTCAGTAATAGAAAGTTACGTAGCGTTTTCTGGCTAAGATTTTTTCAATTTTTAGGCGCGAGTCAGAAACGAATGCGAGAAATTAAGAAGGAAAGAGATGAAGCAAAACCAAAACATCCATAACGATAAAGTTTTATTTCATTGGCAGCTATACTCAGCATTCTTCGTGCTATGTATTGTTCGGCGTCTTATATCAACAGTCCTATAAAGATGTGATATATTATTATAAGATGATGTATTATTACAGCATGCAGCTATCCTGCGTATGTGAAAGTATTTAAACTTGAGTAACTAATTTAGTATGATGGTATATTTTTCTGTTACCAACAGTAAATCAGGAAATGACAATAAATCATACGGTAACACGATTTAAAGTTATTTTCTGATGATGGAACGCATACTACTGTAATGTAGTGGCAATGTGAGTTTGCATGAACAAGTCAAGTTGACATTAGCAATGATATTTGTTTCACAATTCTTCTCACCCAAACTATTTTAGGTGAAGCAAGACGTACAACCACTTGAGAGGAAACGAACAAAGTAGATGTTGTTTGACTGACTGTATTACATAATATATTGTAGTGAGTTATTGTGCTAGATATTATAGCAGAATCCGATTATAGAGCATTTCTGTAGTAATTCGTTCTTAGAAATTAATCAAGTGATTGTTATAGCATTAAATTTGGCTTGTAGTGTAGACTCTCTGATTGCGATCTATAAAATCTGAAATCAAGTGCTATGATCAATAGGAAATTGATTGATAATTCAAATCTCAACCAGCGTTGAGACAATATTTCATGAGATACATGGCCTTCAAGTAGTTATACCCACATTAACAACAGTAGAGATTGATGTCAGCCGCACGGATTATACTTTATAAATACACTCCATTTTCATAACATTAGATTGAGGTAAAATAAAAAAACTAGAAGCCCATTGCAGATATTATGCTGTTTAATTATTGCGAACAACTAAAAATTAGCTAGATGGGTATTCATTCGAACAGAATATTAAGGAATCGATAGTCACAGCGATAATTTGGCATAAAGTAACCGCTATTCACAAATTTGCTGCAATTTCGTACAACTATATCATATATTTAGGGGAATAAATAGGATTTGCGTGTATTTGGTAATGACGGATGATAGTTGACTGTACTTAAACTTTCAGGTACATTTCAGTTTGTATACTGTACTCGCATGTTACGGCCATTGTAGTTGTAAATATAGGGAACAAGGTCATAAACATGCCTGGCAAATGATACAAGTTAGATGCAACTAGTTAAATTCTTATGCTAGCCTGTAATATTGCCCATAAACAATAATGGACCTCTGCAAACACAACGAGCTAATCTTAAATGCTTTATTAATAGATGTATGACATTAAGATAAATTAAATGCAAACAATATTATTGTATAAAAATAAGTTACACAGGAGCATCCTATCTTTTAACTATAACTCGATCTATACTTTTTACTACTTCTTACGAATACATTTACAACGACCACAATGACTAATGCGATGAGAGAGTATTTCAACATCATGACAAGTCTTAAGTCGATTACATAGACAGCCCAGTTAGAATAAAACGCTAAATATATCGTAGTCATTCCTGAGAAGTAGGTGGTAAGTCCAAAAATAAGATGAAAACTTTTAGAGTTGTATTTTATAACTGGCATTTCATTAACCATTTTCAGACCATATAAGATCTGTAGTATGGTCAAAATTAAGGTAGCAAGACCATACCAAGAGTGATAACTGACTAGGTGATTAGAATTAGATCTGTATTTGTTGAAAACAATCGTTGATGTACCAAGTAGGGTTAGTAGGCCAGCAGCCAATTGCATCTTTTGGTGACCGGCAACCTTATTCGGATACGTCGGGACGTTGATGGGAAACTTTGTTGACGAAAAGAGTGAAATAGCTTCTGTCATGCAGAGAATAAACTAAAGATTGGGAGAGAACCTTGTCAGGTGGATACTTGACAAATAGAGTTGAAGTACTGCATAAGTTAGTAGTAATATTGATTCGCTCTAGTTAGTACTTACAGCCAAAGTCATGAATGTAGGATGCCAGGAAAATAATGCTGTAAGGAAAATGCTACCGATTAGACACACTCAGATATACTTTATTAAAATGATAAGGTCATCTCTACAACGTGTACTACATGCTATACTGGCAACAGTTCAAAATAAGATATATGCTGTAGGTATATCCTATCAAGGTACCGGGCATGGTTACGTTGCCTGTCGTTCATGTAGCTTGCAGTATTGAATAATTTGTACATTCTACATATGTCTAAGTTCAATCTCATTTTATGAATGTCAAGGTAGTGTTTTCGAAAATAACAACAGTAGACTTATCAATCGGTACATTTGATGGTGAAAATAGAGAAGTAGGTTAATGAAGTTTTCATACATGATTTGATTGAATAATAAATAGATTAATGAAGGCTGTCCAGAATTATTACAGCGTTTTCTT